GGGTATTTGCTGTGAGACTGTGTCTCCTAGTAATATCAAAAGCTACATCCAAAAAATCTCATTGACATGACTGCCTAAAAATAAGCTGAACAAGAACATCACCAATAGACATGCCAAAGTAGACAGGAAAAACTCCACAAAGCCTTAACCCTACACAACTAACTACAGGCAACTAAGAAATGCTGAGAATAGGAGGAACAGTCTTTCTCAGGGAAGAACACAGCAATTTATTATCTAATACCAAATAGTCAGGTAATATCTAACATTATAAAGGTTGAATAGGTTATATTTAGAAATATATACTCATGTGGTTTCTATTCTTGGTTGCTAACTTGACTACATCTATAATAAACTAACATCCAAGTGGCTAGGTATACCTGTGAGAGATATTTTCTTAATTAAATCATTTGAAGTGGAAAGATTCACTTTTAATCTGTGTCTTTTGAGGTGAGAAAACACACCTTTAATCCATATGTTTTGAGGTGGGAATATTTACCTTTAATTTGAGCTACACCTTCTTGTGGCAGCCTGTATAAGGGACATGGAAAAAGGAAGTTTCACTCTTTGACTGCTTGTTCTCTCACTTGTTGGCAAGTTCATTTACTCACTGGCATTAAAGCCTATCTCCTCTGCCATAAATTGAAGATCAGCCATGATGTACAGCTTCATGGAATGAACAAGTACTGAATTCTTAGAATTTCTGTTGATAGACAGCCATTGTTGTGCAAGTTAGACAACAGGCTGTGAGGCACTATAATAAATCCCCTTTATATATTTATAAATATATACACATATATGTACATATATTTATTCTATCAATTCTGTTCCTTTGGAGAACCTTGAATAATACAGTACATATACATATACCAATAATTAATGAAAGAAAAGAGGCCAAGAATTAGAAAAGGAGCCAGGAGGAGTATAAGAGATTGCTTGGAGGAAGATGGAAGGGAAAATGTTGTTATATTATAACCCTAAAAGTAAAAATAATTTTTAAAAAGACTTAAGTCAAACAACACAGTATTGTAACTGGAAAACTGGAAATCATGTTGTCTATCATTATGGACCCAGTAATCAGAGAGAGAAATTCAGTCCTTAAATTTTCTTTATTCAAAGAACTAGGAATTTGAGAAGACAGAAGATTAACATTCTAAAGATCTGTCTTCCATCTCATCTTCATTTGGAGAATAATCTTGGGAACAGAAAGAAAGGCAGCCAATCACTCCAAAGTATGATTCTCTTTCCTCTATTCATGTAGCCAGTCTGGTCTTAGATCCAAGGTGATGATGCTTCTCTCTTACACTTCTGTCGACTTTTCAGCTGACCTGTGAGGATCTTGTCTGCTGGACCTTGGATTTGAGGACCTGAAAGAATAAAATGGATTACAGTCTAATGCTGTAGACAAACTTACTTCACTTTCAGTGTACTTTTATACAAGAATGAAACAAAAAATACAATGATCTAAGGAAGGTTGCTTGAGTTCAGAAAATATGATCAGAAAAAATGTAAATGAATGCCAATAACCATGTATTAAATATTAATAAAGAGCCCTTTCCCAGAACTTTCTCAGTACAGACCAATTTAGACACAATTGCCTGGCACATACTATAGATTATATCTGGGAAAGCATGAAAGCAAAGCAGAAGGCCATATCCAGATTCAGGGTACACTGACCAGATTGAGTTCTATAGCTATGTTCTGAAATCCAAAAATAAATAAATAAACATATCGTATAAATTAAATGTAAATGTCACTGGAAGCATGTAATCACATCCAAGAATGATCTAGGGAACAAAATGCACCTAAGGTAAAAGGCCCTCTGCCTTTTCACTGGAGCTTCTCACAATTCTCCAAGGCATTGTTCATCATGCATCATATTTTTGACTGTGTTCTGGCACACGTCTTGTACTTTTCCTCATTATTGTTTCTCTCTGTATAGAGGAAGGTTCACATATACCAAGGCCATGACTGCTTAGCCTTGCATTGTAATCAGATGGTTTCTATGGTCCTGCCCAGGCCCCATGGTCCCACATTCCCATGGCAGCTTATAAAATAATCATTCAGAGGCTTAATATTAATTATCAATTGCATGGCCTAAGACAGGCTTCTTGCTAGCTAGCTCTTACAACTTAACCCAATTTTATTAATCTATAAGTTGCCACATGGCTGTGGCTTGCTTCTCTTGGCAGCAGTTGGCATCTCCTTCCTCTCCTTTCTCCTCCCACTGTCTCTCTTGGATTTTCCCGCCTGGCTCCATCCTGCCCTGCCATAGGCCAATGCAGCTTTATTTATCAACCAATCAGAACAACACATACTCACAGCATACAGAAAGACATCCCATAGCATTGCATTCTTCTCCACTTGTGAAAAGTTAACTCAGAACAGGACCATCATTAGCAACATCTAGATTCCTTTCTATAATACGAAGTGCAAACATGGTATTATAAATCAGAAAGGTGCCCCTTATCTGTCCTTCTTGTTCCCTACCAATGTGGCTGATGGACTGTCATAGAAGTCACAAGTTAAGAGATTTTTAACTAAGTTTTCTCACTATAGAAAAATAATGAGATAAATTCATAAAAAAAACTTGACACACAAATTTTAAAAATGCAGAAAATAAAGAAAAATGTTAGTCCTAGAATTTTGCACATGATAGATTTTTACTCTTTAATTACAAGTATTTTGTAACTCCTCTTTTATTTTCAGATATGAAAATATAGCTTAAATTCAAAATCTGAAAAGAACATTATTATGTCAAAGCTTGCAAATGACATGCTTCTTTGGGGACTTACTCCTTTGTAAATTTTTGACTACTTGATGTAGTATAAACATAAAGGTTACTTTCCACTTAGTAAACCCCATTATGTACCAGGACTTTGAATGTCTTACAGACTTGAGGTTTCAGTCAAAGTGTTATCATTTTTTTTCATCCCTTCACTGCTTGATCTATCAGTCACTTGTCAGTGGAGATGTGACCCTAGTAGTGATTCCATTCATATCTTTCCATTCTGATTTTCATATATTCATTTCTCCCTAATCATTTCCTCCTCTTTGATTACTCCCTATACCATATTCTATAGGGTATAATATCACAAAATTGTGTCATTTAAACCCCAAAGCTAACGCAGCTTTATTTATTAACTCAGGAAGAGACAAGAAGAATAAAGAAGACAGATGATGATTGAAAAGGCCATAGACGGTTTATTTAAAATTACATAGATATGTACATGTGCATATATATTTTTTAATAAAATTATATCATGTGGGGTAACAATGCTCCACCCAAAGCCATAGACTATGTAATAAAATCCCCTATTCCAAACATGGGAAACTTCTCTTCAAATTGCTGGTCAGGGCAGTCTAAAGGACTTCATATATTGCCTTTGGTTGCTTTCCAGAACTTCAAACAAATAAACAAAAAACAAGCTATACATGCCATCAGGGGCTGGAGGGATGGCTCAGTTCAATCATTAAGAGCACTTGTTGCTTTACAGAGCATTGGTTTGGTTCCCAGCAGCCAAATGACAGCTTACAACCATATGTGACTCCAGGAAATCGATGCTTTTTTTTTTTCTGACCACCTCAAACACAGGATTTGGAGGAATTCAGCAGGAATTGATGTTGAAGCCTCTTTCCTGAGGACTAGCCCTCAGAGTATCCAAAGTTGCTATGAAGCTGCCAAGGGAGAAAAGCAATGAAAATCCTACCCAGTCTAAAACCCACAATGACCAGCATGACAAGTATATTCAAGGATGTAATAGTGGCATTTATATCTTAGGGTAACCAACATCTGACTAATTGGATTTAAGTCCCATTCATGCCTGATACTACAAATCTAGACAACTACCTGTGAGTGGTAAGGTCATAGACCCTAGAGAAAAACCTAATTCCATGTTCCTAAACCAGTATAATTCCCAACTACATTCTAAATACCTATCCTTATATTCACAGAGTATACATCTCACCATTCATCAAAGAAGCATCTTTTCACAGCAGACAGAAACCATGACAAAAATCCACAATAAGGCAAAATGTAGAGAACAACTGATTCCCAACACAAGCCTTACACCTAAGGCTCAGAGAACATTTCAGAAGAGGGATGGAAGAATTCCAAATGCTAGAGGTCCAGGTTATCTGCTGCAAGATTGTGTTTTCTAGATATGACAGGAAATTCTTCCCATTAACTCTTTTTTTTTTTTGGTTTTTCAAGACAGGGTTTCTCTGTGTAGCTTTGCGCCTTTCCTGGAACTCACTTGGTAGCCCAGGCTGGCCTCGAACTCACAGAGATCCGCCTGCCTCTGCCTCCCAAGTGCTGGGATTAAAGGAGTGCGCCACCACCGCCCGGCCCCATTAACTCTTAATATTATAATCATCTGAACAAGATTGTCACAATGACACCACCAGTTGACATCTCAATATGGGTGGATGAAATCTCACAAGGCCCAACCCATAGATAAAAGCTATAGACGATTAATAACTGCTGAGAGAGGGAGATTCAGTCTTCTCAAGGGATGAGTAACCTGATAGGTTATCCAATACAAAGTATTTGGCCCTAAAAGTGTGTCCACAGACAAGCAACACTCCACAAACTCAACAGGAGTGTATGTGTGTAAAAATAATTGAAGCAAAAGAGTCCATGAAAGTTGCCATGAAGTGGAGAGGACATGGGGGGAATCAAAGGGAAGATAGGGAGTAAAAATGTAAATACAGTGCAAATATATGAAATTCTCCAGAAACAGTTTTAGAAAGGATGGATATAGCATATCCAGTAATGCTATTACAAAAGCCCCACTACTGGTCTTCTAGTGTCCTCAATGACCTCCCTGTTGCCCTCTACTGAGGCACCAACTGCCACACATTCACCCATGTTTTTTCTCCCATTGCAGGAATGCCATGCTCAAAAAAGACAAGGGCTGCAGAAACACTGTCTCCTGCAGACACTTCAGAATCCTCACAGGAAAGCTCAGGAAACTGCTCAGGGGCCAAAATAAGAACACTTTATTGGATGTACAAGGCACAAATTTTGTAGCTCCTTAGATATTTGCATGGCTATGCAATTATACTTTGCAGTATCATTATTGATGGTCTGAAAAGATACAAACAGCATAAATGAAACACAGCTCAAACTATGAAAAATGTAAACCATAAACATCAAAACCATAAAACAGTCATTCAGTTCTCAGTTGCTTACCTGCCACATACATAATTTCTTATACATATATACAAAAGCCTAAAAAACAATATTCTGAGACTAATCACTATATAAATATGAAAATAATTCTTTACCCTTAACCTCAACTTTATCTTTAGAGGAGGGAGGACAGTCTGTATTTATTCAAATTACACATAGTATTAAAAATCAAATGTTGTAAAATACCATATAAAGCAGCAAGTAGAAAAATAAATTATGAGAATGAACAGACCTCGAAGATAACAGTGAAAAAATGCCTACTTTACCAACATTATTTTCCATAATGAAATTAAAATATTATCTAATATGTTAAAGTGCACTTAAAAGGTATATATATCATCACTGTGATTTTAAAAGTTGTCTAAGGAAAAAGGAATGCAATATAAGTTACTTGAGAGAAATGTGTGAATATTTCAAAGTAAGCTTAAACTGAAAATATTTTGTCCTTACTTAAAATATACTTTAAATTTGGGAACACTTTTGAGAAATCAAAATATAGTTTCCTAGCAAGTCAGCTAAAAAATAGTTTTGAATTGCTTTTCCTTAAACAAGTTTGTTAAGCAGAGATGGAAACCTCTAATTTGAATATTTTATATTCAGATAACTGAAGATGTTGACTTGTTGTTCAAATTACCTAGACAACATTCCGGTTAACACAGCTGTTCTGGCCCTACAACTAGAGGCAAAACCCCAGACAGAACTACTATATTAATAATACACCTTTTTGTGTTTTTTAAAGAGTGTAGAAGACACAAAATATATATATGAGGGAAATAAAGAGAACATGGTAACATACATGCTAACAGAGTCTATTCAGTTAGTGCCACACACATATCATCTAATAATATGTAAGATTCACCCTTGTCTAGGATCCTCACTCTGTAAGGTACACACTAATGGCAAACTTAACTGTGTCACGTGTTATAAAAATAATCACTACTCTCACTTGCCATCTGTGTCAATTTCTCACAAAGCATTCTTCTTGATCAGAAATGTAACCTATTAACTGGAGCTGCAAACCACTAAACATAAAATAGCCATTCGTTTGTAGTTGCTGGAGATTGAATTTTCTTATTTGGGATAAGGTATGTGGCTTTTGTGGATAACTGTACCTAGTCAATTCCCAGTCAGGAAAAAAAAAATGAAGCTCAAAAAAGTTAAAGTTTGATAACAAAAATCAAAGGCACAAAAGGTTGTTAAAAAGAAATGTTATTTAAAAAGAAGTATTTATTGCTCTGTGTATATGTGTACACGTATCATTTGGTCATTATAGCACACATGTGTGAAGGTCAGAGAACCACTTTCAGGAGTTCAGTTTCCCCTACCATTGCAAGTTCAGGCACGAATTTGGCGTTGGCAAGCTTGGGCAACAAGTACTTTTACTTCCTGAGACAAGTTGTCAGTCCCGGGAATTGTTTTAATTCAAAAAAAGAAAGAAAGAAAGAAATGTTTGAACATACATAATACAATTTACATAAGTAACCAGTATTATTTATGTTCTGGATAAGCTATTCAAAACATAGACCTGGATGAACCAAAATATTTAAGTCTCTTGCTAAGAATAATCTAACCGGTTCAGGCTACTGGAAACCCCTTTTCCTGGCCCATCCTGGCTCAGATAGTGAGGCCTTTGCCTCTTAAAGACATTTTGGTCAGAAGGAGTGGGAAGCACTGCAAGTTCCAGGAGAAAAGCAAGACTAATCATGTCCTGGGTGATGAGTAGTCACAAGTCACATTATCTAAAGGTCAGTCTCACCTTTTTAAAGCCAATTCTCCTTTAAATACAGCACTTTCCAAAGTTATGCCTAATAACAATCTCCCATTGTTCATGAAGAAGGAAATTAATGATTAAAGTTAGGGGCTGAGGAACTGACACTATGCTGTAGATAATGCTCTATGTGAAAAAGCAACAATATATTCATTTGGTAAAATATTGTTACTTTAAGTACCATTGTATTTTCTATGAAACATATTTCACATTCATAAAATTAATCCTTTCCAAAAACAAACTTTCCAGATTTAAAATTATGCCACTACTACTGCCCGCCTAATTTCAGAAGACTGTGTCCATACTCCTAAGAAGGCATATGCACATTAGTCATTAGTGCCAACTACCCTCAGCCTCTGGCAGCTATTAAGTGGAATATATTTTTGTGGCATTGTTCTTTCAGTAGTATGTATTATACATAACTTCACTAAAATTTTCACATACAATTTAAATCACAGACTTTACAAGTAGTCTTGAAATTGTATTTTCTTGTTATACACATTTTTTTCAAACATACCTTCATTTATTGATAAGAAGGATTTTTATTTACATTGGAGTCTAAAATATTTCTAATTTCTCAAATAAATTCTATCCTTACTTCCGAAATTTAAAAAACCAATACCTCAATATCAAAAGGTATGCTTAACAGGGTTCTTAGTAACTGTGAACAACTGTGCTCTTCCTGCTTCTTAAAACATACCCAACATTATTAGGCTAGGGAATAGCAAAGCCAATTTGCCAAATGAAAATACTCACGCTATCTTATACCATCCATGGTTTAAAGATATAATACATAATATACTACCCATCCCATTGTTCTTTGTATTAAAACACTGAATTCCATAAAACAAAGTATTACGTGTTTGTGTTGAAATTTAAGTAAACACTGTCACAGGTTAACTACAAAGTCAGTTTTCTTATGAAGCAATTTTATAAGTGGGTTCTCAATAGTTTTGTTCTGAGAATGTAATTTTATTTTTCCATATCATATTAAAAACATTAACACATTTTCTCTTCGTGATCTATAAGGGCCAGACATCCCAAATAGTTCACTGAGATAGAACAAAGAAAGCCCGAGGTTCCTGAGAAGAGGCAAGAACAGCTTAATTTGCCGGGCTGTGATCCTTCATAGGCTGGTGTTGTGTGACGCACCACTCCATTGAGAATCAGTGTCCCACAATCAGTATTCTGGAAACAAGGACTCTATGAACTGGAGACAGTCGGGGGTTAGCCATTGCAACAGTTCTTCATCTGTAGTGACTTTCTGGGTGTGGACCCAGCTAGACTGGTAATGGATCTGCTGTCATCATCCTCTGTCCTTTTCTTCACTTCCCTGGGAGATGAGAGAAAAAGATTACAACTGAAGTAAGCTATTTGTTTACTTACTTATGGAGATTAATTACAGGACAATGGAAAATTATCAGTTTCCAAATACAAAGCCTTGATAATTTTACCATTTAAAAAAAGTCTCATCTATATCTAAATTACAGGTTGTCCGCTACAAAAAGTCATAGGGAGAGATTGATATCTAGATAAACAATTACAGGGTCACAGGTTTGTACTTAATATACCTGTATAGTGTCTTCTAGGAACCAAGGTCCTTCTAGGAGATGCTGATACTGAAGAACCCCTGTGGTTGTTTGAATTAAATGTGCCCCATATTCTCAAGCAAGTGAATACTTAGTCCCTAGATGGTAGTGCTGCTTATGTAAGTTCAGGAGGTGTGACCTTACTGGAGGATGTCACTCTAAGCAGAATTTGAGGTTTCAAAATCTGGGTACCATTCCATGTTTGCTCTCTGCTTCCTGTTTAAGATTTGACATGAGAGCACTTAGCTCTGTTTCCATCTCCAGTCACCATGCCTACCTGCTGCCACACATCCCTGCCGTGATGATGATAATGGGCTCTGAAGCCTCTGGAACAATAAGCTTCCTAAAACTCTTCCTTCTACAAGTTGCCTTTGTCATGGTGTTTTATCACAGCAATAGAAAATTAAGACAGTCTCTTTAAAAAATAAGGGATCCCCTTTCTCAGAAGCCATTGAATGCCTATAGCTCTTCATCTTGAGGTGGGATGAACTCCATGATAGGTTATCCAACCCCATGTGGTCGATCCTAAATATATTTATATATAAACAACATGAAAAGGGCTCAGTAGGGGGTTGTGTGTGTAAAACAACTAAAGAAGACATGGATTTGAGAGGGAGTCAGGAGGACATGGGAGGAGTTGGAGCAGGAACAAGGAATATTATAAATAAGGCAAACATAGTATTCAAGTATGAAATTCTCTAAAAAATATTAAATTAATTTTAAAAAAGAAGTGACATTCACCTGGTGTCACTTCAGCAGGGGAATTCTAGGTTCAGAAACAGCATGCACAAAAGCTAAGGCCTAAAAGAACTTGGGTAATACTAGACAGAAAGTCTACTGTGTCTATAAATTATTATATATTTGCAAAAAAAAAGTGGATTCAAGTAGAGATGTAAGTAAAATGAGGCCATGAGGCTTATTAGCCACATGGGAAGGAGCCTGGGCCTTACACTCTATGTAAAGTGCAAGGTATAGACTATGAGCAAAACCAGAAACTGCAGTTTTAGTTATAAATATTATACTAGAACTAGAGTGTATCACAGTGGTGGAGAGGTTGTCCACACAAGGCCCTTTCCAGCACCGGGGGGGGGGGGGGGGGGGGGGGGGGGGGGAATGAAAGAGCAAAATCAGGCAACCAAACAAATACTTTATATATATATGCGATGATGGAGGAAATCTGAGGCACAAACATTTGCACCTAAGTAGGAAATTGTAATACTCAACTAGATTCAAGAGAAGGAGAAAGTGAAGTACAGATTCAAGAGACATACAAACACTAATGAATCAAAAATTCTCAGAAGCCACTGGCAGTGGAATTGAATCAAGACTGACTTATGTGACTAGGCTTTAATTGAAGCTGTGTATTATGGCTCCAACTTTTACACTTTTATTTTATTAGGTATAATGCTAAATTCAAGGCTAGTCCCTTATTCACTTAATATCTTACTGAATCTAGTACAGGGCTGTACACACATCAAGTCTTCATAATAATGCACATATTATTAAGCCTGTAAATAAATATTAAGGGGAACATATGCACCTACAGCTTTCATCTGGCCTTCAGTTTCTTGAATATACTAAAAATGCAGGTGTGTCCTATGTTAAGGACATACTGATAATAAAACTAGAGGTCCAAGTCAGGTCAATTAAAGCTATAATAACAATAGCACAGCAGTAAATGACTCATAAGAAGTCTGTCTGATTTAATAGCCTAAAAGTCTACTAAAGAGCTATGGCCTGACTGTTACAGAACTGAGATGACCATTCCATCAAAATGTCTTTGCTCACCAATTGTTGGTTTTTAAAGACTTGCTGGGCGGTGGTGGCACACTCCTTTAATCCCAGCACTTGGGAGGCAGAGGTAGCCAGATTTCTCTGAGTTCATGGCCAGCCTGGTCTGCAAAGTGAGTTCTAGGACAGACTCCAAAGCTGCACAGAGAAACCCTGTCTTGAGGAAAAAAAAAAAAGATCTATTTAATTTTTTGTTTATTTATGAGTATTTTGTCAGCATATGCTAGTGTACACATGTGCCTAGTGCCGGTGAAGGCCAGAAGAGGGCATCAGATCCCCTGGAACTGGAGTTACAGACAGCTGTATACCAGCACATGAATAACTGAGCCCAGGTCCTATGAAAGAGCAGAAAGTGCTGCTAACCAATGAACCATCTCTCCAGCCTTGCACACCAGTTGTTTAAGTAAAGCTAGTGTCCATGCTACACTGTAAACAGCAGCTCACATAGGACCAGACAAACAGCAATGGTCTTTCCTTTCTTTTTACATAAAAAGACTTGAACCTATAGTTGGGATGTGACTAAGATACTCTATCCTTGTAACTTTACTATGGCCCCACAAGACAACTGAGTACTAAATTGTGACTTATTTAATAGAATGAAGGCTATTTCACAGAAATATAGACTTCTAATATTGGAAAGGACCTTTGAGGCCATTTTAATCAGTCCTCTTTGTAATTGTACAGATTAGGGATGTGTGGATGACTCCAGGGCTTCCATTTAGGAGTGGACTTTGAGAGCCCATAAGATATCTCAGAAGTACAGCACCTTCCATACAGGCCTGAGAACTTAAGGTTGATCCCCAGGGCCCATGTGAAGGTGGAAGAAGAGATCCAACTCTGTACATGTATACGATGGCATGTGCATGTCCACACTCACAAACACACATCATATGCACACACACATATATAAGCACTCAAGTATGACACATATAATTAATACTACTACTACTACTACTAAATATAATAATAATAAATAAAGCTTTTTTGTGAAGAATGAACTTTGAGTCTCACTTTGTCACTCCCTTCCAATATGTAGGCAGCAGCTTGTTGCCACTTACAGGGTATGAGTATTTCTTCGCTGAATGCTTGTACCCAGAAATGTTTCAGATTTTTGAATTTTACAGGTTTGGGGAAATTGCATAGATTTTACCAGATAGGCATCCATAAGTTAAAAAAATAATTGAAATGTTCCATGATTAAACATGTTTTGGTCATCATGACAACATGTCACAAGTGTACAAACTGAGACTGAGTATAATGCCAGCTTTTACTAAGCCTTGGCCCAGCAACACTCTAAGGCCTGTGGGTTCTTTCCTTCACTATATGTAACTTGTTCAGACATAGAAACTGATGCTCCCAATGGTCCCAAAAGCACAGAGTCATCATTTGACTTAGCCGATAAAAGTGTGGCAATGGCTGCTTTCTGCCAACAGTAACGTTAGCTCAGGCTAAAACAAAGCAAAAATTCACATGTTCAGAAGACTCTGTGTTTAAACATCCAAGTTTCTGCCTATTCTACGTTACATATAAAGTCAATGCTGTTTTTTTCTTTAAACAGATGATTTCCTTGGCTGAGGTGGGAGTCCTTAGACCATTGTTAATGCCCAAACTGTTCAATGACACTAAGTCTGAGCCCAGGACACCTGCTGTTCCTTGCCACAAACAGATGTTTCTTGGACCTATGGAAGACCTGAGGCCTGTTTCCTCATTTTTTCAAGTCAGGGTAGTCATCTATTCCTAGATCACACTCCAAGTTAGACACTCCAGAGTCTAACTTACCAGGTGCTATAAATCTGTGTCACCAATTAAAATGTAGCAAGGCCAGGCCTGTGGAGAAGGCCATGCACATATTTTGGGCCGCCTCCAAGATTATCAGACTTTTTCCAGACGTCCAGGAGGGACGTGAGTGTGACAGAGATCCTGCTTGGTGCCTTGAAACACATCAGAGAGGGAAAACTTTCGGAGGTTTAGTTTCAGCTGGATTTTGTTTCTTAGACAGCCGCATTGCCCTGGTTATGGAAAAAACTAGTAACTATGGAGTGATGATAATCTGAAAGGGCCCATCTTTGTGTCCTTGGCCCTTCTTCTGAAACCCTAATCAGTTAAGATACTGCTTGGTTTCCCACATGGGTTTTTTTTTTCTTCCATAGAGGGAGTAGATTCTGTCCTACCTCAGATGCTGAAGTCACTGAAAGAATGGTGCTATTCTTTTCAGTGCTTGGAAACAATAAAAATACATGGCTATGAAAAAAAAAAAATGTAGCAAGGAAAACCACAGGTCAGTTTTCACACTAATTATTCTTACATGAATTCAAAAATCATCAGAAAAAGAACTGCATGCAGAAAACTATGTAGTTGTTCGTCTATAATTAGAGAACACTGTCCTTATTTAAATTTTGTGGATTTTTTTCCCTTTTGGTAGATACATAATTCCTTTATTACAGCAAGAAATCATGCTTCCATTAGTGACAGACTGCCTTAGTTAAGGTTTCTGTTGCTCTTATAAAAAAACATGGTCATGTTACTTGGGGAGCAAAGGGCTTATTTTAGCCTACAATTCCACACCACAGTCCACCAGCCAAAGAGGTCAGGGAAGGAAACTGGAGGCAGAAACTGAAGCAGGAGCCACAGAGAAACACTGCTTACTGGCTTGCACCCCATGGTTTTCTCAACCTGCTCTCTTATCCACCACAGGACCACTTGCCCAGGGGTGGCACCACACACAGTGGGTTGTGCCCTCTCAGGTTAGTCACTCATAAAGACAACACTCCACATGCTTGCTTACCACATAGTCCATGGAGGCATTTTCTCGACTGTGCTTTTCTCTTACCAGGCAAGTCTACCTTGTGTCAAGTGGACAAAAAACTAATAAGGAAAACTGACCCATTGTCAACTTGAAACACAAACACACTACTGTTAAATCATAACCTTTCCTTTCTTGTTCATCTCCAAGATCTCAATATTAGTATTACAATAGAAAACATTTCAACTTTTAAAATACCAAAGTCTTTAAATTCAAACACAAATTTCAAAATTCAAAGTTTCTATGATATACTCAAAGTCTCTTTAAAATTCCAAGTCTCTTAACTGTAGAATCCTATAAACAAAAAAAAAATTTACATACTTTTCTACTCCAACATGGAAGAACCAGAGCAGTCACAATTAGATCAAAGCAAAGCCACAGGAAAAGTTCAGTGTTTGATTTATGAGACCCACTCATCTGGGCTTCAAAGGTACGTGCCCAGTCTAAGCTCTATCACACACACACACACACAGTGTGGTTCATAGGCTGAGACCAGCTACAAGCTGAAGGTGCTTTGGTCTTTGATGGTCACCCCATGGTACTGGCATCTCCAAAATGCTGAGTCTCTGTGCAACTGAGCTCCATTTTGACCAACAGATTCTCCTGAGCTTACTTTAGGAACCCTGCCCTGCCACACAGTACCAAGCTTAAATTTCTCTTCAATCCCTTCAATCCTGGGGATTCAACTGTAGGTGAGACTGCACGCTCACCAATGTCCTCACATGGCTTCTCACAATACCAAGCCTCATCTGCTCTCCATTACCCTTTTATCCCTTAAAAACCCAGTACCACCTGGGAGACATCAACAAGTTTGGCTGTCACTGTGAAATACAGCCTCAGCCCACCTATGGACCAGGGCTTTTGTATGCTGACCCTAAGGAAACACAGAAGATTTTACCTTAGTAGTACTTGTCTCTTAGTAGTCATCACTAATTTATCAGTTCCAGCTGACCAGTGTTGATAGTCCCAGAAAAGCAAAGATTCCATTTTAGTGCTTCTGGTCTCTTCTCAAACACAGCTGATTCAGCCCCAGCTGACACAGATTATATATTCTCCATTCAAAATATCACATGAAGAGTCCCAATAAAGTCTTTGAAGTCTCTGACACTTCAAAATCCAAGCCCCTATCATCTGTATTTTTTGTATCTTTCAATTTTCTCTTCATAACTCCCACAGAATAACTCATTAAGTTATGGACATCCAAGATTTTTCTAGCCTAAAGTTCAGTTCCATAATCCTTTCACAATCTGCCCAAAACAATATGGTTAGGTCTGTCCTGGCAATAGTCCACTCTTTGGTACAAATTTCTATCTTAGGGTTATTATTACTGTGATAAAACAGCATGACCAAAAGGAAGCTGGGGAGGAAACATTTTTTTTGAGCTTACAATTCCATGCCACAGACCATCATGGGAGACAGGACAGTGACCTGGAAGTAGAAACTGAAGCAGATACCATGGAGAAATGTTGCTTGCTGGTTTCCCCCTCATGGCTTGCTCAGCTTACTTTCTTATATAACCCAGAACCACATGGTCAGGAGGACCAAATGGCCAGGGGTGGTAGTATGCAGAGTTGTACCAAATCAATCACTAATAAAGAAAATATCCCAGAGGTTTGCCCACAGATCAATCTGGTGGGAGTACTGTCTCAGTTGAGGTTCCCTTTTTCAAATGGCAATATCTGTGTCAAGTTGACAGAAACCTAACCAAGGAACACACCAATCAGAAAATATAAATCAGGGAGATAGTACAGGCATATCTAATAATACTTGAAGAACTGACATACATGTTTTTATGTAAGTCTTCTAATGATGAGTTTTATTCTAATCCACATGTGAAATGTTATGTATTCTCCACACCACTGCCTTCTTTTAATAATTACAAAGTGAGCAATTCAGACAGTGATTCCAAATGGTATGATATGAATTTGCTATTTTTACCCTAGTTGATCAGCAAAATTTCCTAATAGATAAGCTAATAACAGCCTGTTGTGTTTAAATTTTGGTTTCAGTAGATGATTCTATAATTCAAGTATCACCTTTCATGGTGATATTTTACAAAATGTTCAAAAAATACTGCAGCTATATCTCTTTTGTTCAGTAATAAAAATATTTAGCCAATGTCGACAATGAACAAGCAGAATTATTAGATTTTATAATAGATACATATACTGTTTTCCTTACCATGAAAGACAGAACTATGTTCTACAGGAGATATTTTAACTACATGCTATTCGGAAGAAATCTAACATATCCATTAGGTCAGTGAAAAATTGAATTTTCTAAAGACAAGGCAAACTTTACCGAGCAAGATGGAGAACAGCTTCAACCACATTGGAGCCATCTTTGGCACTGGTTTCACAGAACAATGCCCCATAGGTCTGCAGAAAAGAAGTATACAAGTTCAGTGAAGGCTTTGGTTAGATTTCCTGATACTTGAGTTACTATATTATAAACATTTTTTCCTAGCCAAGTATGGTAGCATGTGGTGATATTTGTATTTGTGCTCTAACAAATAAAGTTTGCCTGAACATTAGAAGGAGGAGTTAGCCACTAGTTAACCATAGGAGGTTAACCATGGAGGTCTGTACAGACAGACAGGAAGTGTTAGAGCAGGGTAGAGAGAGGAAATGATAAGGCGGGGTGGAGATAGGAGCTTGCTCTCTTTCTGCAGAGAGTTTCGTAGGAGTAAGAACTTGCTGCTCTGCCTGGATGATCTTTCAGCTTTTACCCCAATATCTGGCTCTGGGTTTTTTATTAATAAAACCGTTTAGCAATTTGTGTTACAGTGGCACACTTTGGAGGCAAAGGCAGCTTGATCTCAGAGTTTGAGGTCAGCCTGGTATATAGAGTGAGTTCCAGGCAACCAGTGCTACAAAGAGAAACCCTGCCTAGAAAAACAACATATATTTATGGAGTGGAGTGGAGTGTGCCTGGAATACCAGCACTAGGCAGGTGGAAGCAGACTTTCAAATCCTGCCTGTTACACGTGACTCTACCCCAAACAAACAAAACAAACCAGTCTAAGCACAATAATACTAGGAATAGTTGCTAATCTGAAGATTTTTATTTTATATTTAAAAAATGCAAAATTTCATTTACAATAATTAAGCACATAACACCACATATTCTCTTCAAAAATTTGAGACAGATGAAAATGACAGCTTAAGGTAGTCATTTAGGAATTACATATATACCAAAAGAATGTTTGCAGTATCAGGTCAGTTGGAAGTCCTTGATTACATAGCAAGACCCTGTCTCGGTGAGGGGAAAAGGGTGTGTTTGCTTGGTCCAGGGGCTAAGGCTTCTTCCATCATACTCTCAGCTTCTTCCATCAGAGTACAGAGCTCCTGTATTGCTCAAGTGGAATATTCCAGTCCACAGACAATTACCATTAGTTGCCCTTGCATAGTTAGTTGCTCCTCTGCTTCTAACCTTTAAATGACTCTCACCCTTTTTGAGGCAATATTTAAATGCTTTTCCCCAGCCAACCATACACGGCTTAATCTCAAGTTGAGGTAATTTTCCAGCTTTACCTTATATCATATCTTTACCCCATAAATCTCTAGGTACCTGGCCTTTCCTGTATTTCTCCAGTGGCCTAAATTCCAACTGACCTCAGGATGTTCACACTTGTTCTTCCCAATAGCTGGGTTGCCTACATCACTTCAATTCCTATTTTTTGTATTGGATTCTTTGATAATCATTAAGTTGTTTCTAATTCTGAAAAATATCTATTAGGTCTCCCTGTCATAAAACCCCAGTTTTTTGGTTTTTATTTTTATTTTTTTGCACTTGCCACAATTCTAACAGTTATGTATGGATGCTATTGTAAAGCAAGATGGAGACAAATTCTTTCAATAAAGGACAATTATGGATGCAACATCCTTGGGTGAGGATTAAATATTACCATATAGTGTAAAGGAAGGATTTGGTAGCTACTCTGTAGACTGACAGAGAAAAGATTCTACTGGGTTTATATAAGCAAACTAACAAAAAGAAATCTATAAAAATCACAAATACATATGTGTAGTAGAAACAGTACTGTTGATGGTTATATATGACAGGAAGAAGTAAAGTAAATCTTGAGGATTTCAAGAGTAAGTCAAAAGATGCATGAGGAAGCAACTTGAGAACTCAGATTGGCGCTAACAAATGCCAGGCCAAGATCCTAGGTCTAAAGAGGCTACGGGGAAAACTCCTGGCATATGAATGAAAGAGATAAGTGTCATGTTGGAGATCAAAACAAGTAAATATATAGAAGAAAAGATTGTGCTCCTGAGAGTAAAACATGCAGGCAAAGGACTGTCTCCAACAAAGTGAAGTACATTGTCCCCAAGTCAGAGAACAATATGGGTAACCACTGTACTAACAAAATGAATGGTACAAAGAGGAAGGAATGACCCTGTCTCCTGAAGAATAAAACTACACAGGAGTGAGGATTGTTCTCAACAGAGTCAATCACACAGGGTGAAGACTCTCCCTAACACAGTCAGACACAGGAGTGATGACTTAATCCACTACAGTGAACTATGTAGGCATGAGGACTGTCTCCAACACAAAGAACTACACAGTGAGAACTATATCAGAAATAGTCAACTACACAGGATGAGGACAATGTCCAACACCAGCAACTACAGGCTCAGACTCTTAACACAGTGTAATATACAGTGGTGAGGAATAAAGCATAGTGAACTACAAGGGGTAAGGTATGAAGTAGACAGGTATGAACTATCCCTAAAACCATGCAATGTGAGGACTGTGTGCAACTACTCAAGGTGAAAACTATCTCCAATAAAGTATAGGACAAGGGGTAGGAGATTGGGTCCAACACAATGTGTTGGACACAGTCTTCCACTACTGTGTATTAATACACAGTATGAGGATTGTATCTAACACAGTCAATTATACAAAGTAAGGGCTGGTTCAACACAAGGTGAGAATACTTCATAACACAGTCAATTATACAGGATAAGGACTGCCTCCAACACACTGAAATAAATAGGGGTGAAGACTGTCTTCAACACAGGAACTACACAAGTCTGTCAGCTACACAGAGATGTGAACTTTTATAACACGAATCTTAAATGGCCTTATTAATAAAAAACTTGAGAGTCAGGTATTGGGGTGAATTCTGAAAGATCAGAGAAGCACAACAAGCCACAGCTAACCTCACCTCCATAACTTCTCAGCTGATCTTGTTTCCTCAAACTGGAAGCCTCTGGGCCCTCATCAGAATGGTTCTCAGCTGAACTGCTGCTAAAAGCTTAAAAGCTTAACAAGGCTTTAGTTCATGGTCCTCATGCCTTATATACCTTTCTGCTTCCTGCCATCACTTCCTGGGATTAAAGGCGTGTGTTACCATGCCTGGCTGTTTTCAGTGTGGCTTTGAACTCACAGAGATCCAGATGGATCTCTGCTTCCAGAATGCTAGGATTAAAGCTGTGTGTGTGCCACCATTTTCTGGCCTCTATGTCTATCTAGTGGCTGTTCTGTCCTCTGACCCCAGATAAGTTTATTAGAGTGCACAATATATTGGGGGACACAATATCACCACAAACTCTGTCTACCATGGTGAACTACACAACATGAGTGAGAGCTGTTTCCAACAAGTGCAATATATAGGGTAAGAAATGTCTCCAGTATAGTGAACTACATAGTGATAAGATCTGTGTCCAAAATTGTTAACAACACAGGATAAAAAACATCTCCAACACAATGAACTACACAGGGGGAAAGTACTTTATCAAACACAAGGAACTAGAGAAGAGGACTTTCTCAACTCACACTCTCAGTGAAGTAGACAGATATGAACTGTCCCTAAAACAGCCAACTACACAGCATGAGGACTGTGTATAACAGTGAACTACTAAAGATAATGATTATCTCTAACAATGTGTGAGACATAGAGGTGAAGATTGTGTACAGCACAGTAAAGTACACAGGAGTAAGGGTTGTGTCCAAAACAATGAACTACATAAGCATGAGGACTGTCTCTAACACAGTGTACAATATAGGATGAGGTACAACACAGGGTGAGGACAGTCTCAGTGCAGTGAACTACACAGGGAAGGACTGCTTTCAATTCTGAAAACAATGATCTACCGTGATATTGTCTCATTTTGGACACCCCCCCACTCTTACCATGGCCAGTTTTTCTCCAAGATATGCTGAGATACACATTTGTTTCTCTGCACTAGCAGTATCACGAAGATCGGCCTTGTTTCCTACTAACATGATAGGAACAGGACTGTGGGCTCCATCCTACCAGGAAGGAAAAGAAGTGGACATACATCAAACACTGAAACCAACTATAGTGCTGTAACAATGGTACCAGTAGGTACCAGTAGGTACCATTGTCCATTTGTCTAAAGGAGCCAAATTTATTATACATAATCATTTATAGTTGTAGAACAGAATACATAGCTATTTTGATTATCTATGTCTTACTGCTAATTGCAACAATCAAATTGCTTACATTAAAAATAATATTTTTAAAATTCAACACACCTTTAAGTACAATTACCCTTCCTCCTCATTTGCAAATGAGAAGTCTGCAATTCAGAGAAATGAAAAGCTGAAAGTTAGGTCCCAACATGGATGTATTGCCCCACTTAGGCAATGTTCCACTCTTGGATAGTAAAAAAGGTAAAGGGTATGAGACTAGTCATATGCACAGTGCACAGTATACTACAATCACTATACAACCCAGTGGCATGACCACAGAATTCTCTTCAGTTGAAATGTCCACAGGATGTAGGGTAACACCTTCTCCTTAAAACAGTGTTCATTCTACAGCAACTGCTTTATCCCAGGTGCAAATTATAGATCATTCTTCATTTATCCTAGTAGAAGACTGGGGTGTAAAGTTCACACTCACTACTCTAGTTTACAACAAAGCAAAATAGTCATGTCATAAATTCCAAAGCCACCCAATCAGTGTGTGCAGACTTCTACAGGATCTCAGAACCACTAGTGAGGCCAGGAGCTCATGTCTGGAGGTAAGGGTCTCCTAGATCATTTTTCACCTTGTAAGGCTGCGATGTAAATAAAAGATGTGACATGCATGACAGAACAGAAACACACGTTTCTGGTTCCTAGCTACAATAAGCAGCCATCCCACAACAAACACTTGGAAATTAAACTTTGAAGTGCTTAAACGACATGCTCATTCAGTTTGGTATGTTTCTCATACAGGGTCAAGACATAAGGACAAACATGAGACTATATTTGACATTCATCTTTGACTTAAGGCATAAAAGTGTATTTAATGTGAAGGAGAGCAAGGAGCACATGGCCCTCCTCCATAATTGTTGTTCTACACATTCAGATGCTCATGAACTATCTTCTCTGGTGATCTCTTCAGGATTCATGGTGAAGACAAACAAATAATTAGTCACACTAGCCAAGGAGCTGAGTGTCTGTTGGGGCCCAGTGTTGAGGTCAAGCTGTGACCTATTAAAGGGTCCCTTGAAGAGGGGAGTGAGGAATTGAGAGATGCTAGATAGGAAATATAGAAGTAGATGGAGAGAAAGATAGAGACACAGGATAGCTTTGAGGGGCCCTGGGTCAACACCCAGCAGTCCTGAGTTGATTCATGATGAGCTTTTTATACATCAGCAAGGGGAGGAGCAAAAGACCTTCCCCTCTCAAGGTCGTAACCTGGTAACCACACCTTTGGCCAAATATTCCTATTACTCAGCCCTGCTGAGTAAAGGAAGCTCAGACTTTCTGATCTTGAGTAAGGCCTTACTAGGGAGCCTCTCTGGGCCCCCACACTGAGTAAATAACTTCCTAAAGTCATATAAATAGAATGTAGCATCCTTTCAAGTACAGATGTAAACATTACTTTCTCTGTGAGATCCCCTTGGTCCTGTTGCCTCATCACAGGCCTGGGCTCCACCTTCTTTATTCTTCTGCAATCCCTGCCACTTCCTGCGCACCATTTACTCGCTGTACAATTCCTTTAGTTTGCTGTCTTATCCATGTCTGCAACTAGCAATGGTGACACTCTCTTTAAGCCAATTAATAGGGACTATGTAATTTCAGTCCCTCATCTTAGGAAGAGCCATGGAGTCTCTTTCTGGCCATTCTTTTTCTATAGTGAAATTCAAATGCAATGTGATTTGTCTTGAATACAATTTTCTTCCTTTTCTGGTGCCATGAAAAAGTGATATGGATGGTTGAAAAGCTCATTTGTAATATGCATCTGCAGTGTCTCACTTAATGTAAGGACATTTCCGCATTGGCTGACCTTGCCTTTTGAATTACCATTTTCTGAGCATTTTCTTCAGCATACATAAAGCCTGAAAATGGAGACTAAGCCCCAAATATTAATGATAAGATGTTTGGCACAGGACTACTGAGTTCTATTCCATAGTAGAAGGCTCTCTTGCAGAGACAAGCTCCTTAGTGTTCCTTTAGTTTCAAGGCAACTGCTATTCATTTGTAACTCACTATTGTACTTTATCAAAGTACTGGCCAATGTTGAGTCAAAAGGTTATGACTCATTCCATCCCTACATACTAGTATTATGAAAACAAGCAAGTATCATATACTTTCTATGCCTCAGAGTTCTCACAATATGTAAAAAAAATGCTTGTTTATTTATTTTTTCAGATGTTAGAGAAATAAATGTAATATATTGATAATTTTATCAAGTAAAATATTACATAAATGTGAATAATTTTAATTACATTCATAGTGACTTTAAGATATAGTGCTTTGGTAAAACATGACATATTTATGTTTCACCATCAAAGAATTATTCCAATCACACAACATCTTTTCCATAAATTCTGTAGTCAGGAAGCAAACATTAATTCACAGGCACACTTGAGATCAGACAACACTAGTCTTCAGCCTGTAACTTAATATGTTTAAAATACAGATGGTATTACTTACTTGGGAAGTAATATTTACCAGTAGTTTATATTTTCTAAAGAGTACCCTGTTGTTTTTATGCTTGTTAGTAACAACTGGCAGTAAACATAATACTTTTACAAATTCTGACTGTGAAACCAAATGATATGAAAGGTCCTTAAGTGGAGACATAGTCATCTTGACATAAAAGACACCCATCTCACATGTTAAAAATGCCAATTCATATTTCCAAGACATCTTGTGATTTCTAAATATTTCCACATGACAACTAGAATAATCTTAACTTTGGATCTTATCCCTGTTAACATCCCAGTATTGTCTCAGCTGTTTCTAAAATTCCTGCCACACTGTACATCCAATCCAACTACTTCCATGTTTGTCAAAGTTGCTTTTCTGTGTATCCGTGTTTCTACTTCATTACACAGGATTCCTATGTTTTATCTATCAAAGAATCCAAAAGTTGTTTCCAGAAGCTACTTGCAGAAATATCTTCAACTTGAGAATCCATCTTGGAAAGGTTGCCAATTGACATTGGAAATTGTCAGTCTTCTTGAGAGCACAGATCAGTGGCTCCTAATCACGTTCACACCAGCAAAAACAAACAAACAAACAAAAAACAATTGCATTTCTTAACAGTCCATGACTCCCTTGCATCTTCTGTTTCTTCATTATAATCCTTACCTCAACCATATCCACCCATTCTCGTACGTTCAAAAAGCTTTTTTCACAAGTAACATCATACAGCAGTAGGACACCATCTGCTTTTCTGAAGTAAGATTTGGCAATACTTCTGAATCTGGAAAAGACAAAGCAAAAGCTCGGTATCAACCTGTCATCTGGTCCTTGCCTTGCACTTCATCTCTCGTATGGCCTTTAGCTTTTACTTTCTATATCCAGTTCCAACAAAGACTACCGATAAGCTTCTCTAAAAGAGGTCTAGTGATCATTGAGAAAGCCCATCCTTTTCTCCACCTGGAAATTCCAAGAATGTCTCCTAACCCCAAACTTTAGCCCCAACAATGGTGAAAGCATAATGAAAAAAGTTCAACCCCAGAAACCAGCAAACAGACAGATGGGAAACCAAATATTTGTCTCAAAAATCAGGCAGTGAGTGACTGAAAAAAACATCTGATATTGACCTATGTCCTTTGCATGCACCTGTGTACCTTCCCACATACATATGTGCAAAGGCACAAATATGCAAAATGGTGGAATGCCCAGTCTGATGGAGAATTGTGTTCTGAAAGGGCAGGAGGAGGTTTTAGCGTTTGTTTTGTTTTTTAAATGAAAGGAGATAATATATTAAGGAGTGGGGCCAGAGGAACCTAGATGTATGCTGTTTTTTGCCTGTGGCCTAATCTCTAAGAGGCCAAAAATGGGGAAAACAATGAGGTAAGATTTGCAGTGACCAAGGGCAGATTGTGTCTCCATGGTCATCACTGAATCTTAGTGCAATGAATAGTACAGACCCAGGCCATAAAACATACTCATTGCAAAACTGAGAAAATTTTGACCCACAGGGATTTAGATAAAATTAAAATTTATGCTTCATACTGCTGGTCATTGGCAAGAAATCTAAGATATGGCATAACCAGAAGTTTATCTGCCTCTTATCTTGTGTAACTGTTGCCCTTCAATCAAGGATATTTGGTAGGGTCTGTTTGACTATCATGTAGTGCTTCAAAACTAAGTATCCCTCACAGTGACACTGTATTCAGAAATATTGCCTCCTTTCCACAGCAAAGCATGCAGTCACAACCAAACATCAGCTCAAAAGAAGATCAAAGACCCTCTTCTCTTACAAATGATACAAACATATGGGAGGAGATGTTGGAAAGATGAGCTTTATTGGTATTACATATACCTTACAATTACAAATACAGAATCTTCAAGCACAGTAATATGTTATGACTATAAATAGTATAGTCAACCCCATGAGGCTTTTATTTGTATTCTTTCATTCAAAACACTATGAAAAGCACTTGCCTCTCTTGCCCAGCTGTATCCCAGAGCTGAAGAACTGTTCGTTCACCATCTACAATCAGAGTTTTCATCTGGAAATCAACTCCTGAAATAGAAATAGCACAGGTAATTCTGTAAGTTTTGGCTAAAGCTAAAGCCAAAGCCAAAGTAGAAAGAAATGCACTTGGACTTCAAAGAACAAGCTTCAAATAAGTCAATTTACATATGTAGATATGGATGTACTAACTGCAGTCTTCCTGACCTAAGGTACAACTGACTATATGGAATAGAGCAATCTCAGCTCTTTTCTCCTAGATGACTGAACTAAGTCCTATATGTGTACATGCAAAACTATAAGAATGTATGTGTATGCACATGCATGTATGTTATGTGCATGCTATTTGTACAAGTATATGTATGCATATAACATTATATGTATATGTACATGGATGTTCACATATGACTATTGTACCCACATACACATGTATATTTATGTGTGTGTGAATATGTGTGTGTTTATCACACACAGAGACACACAAACACACATACAAATGTATGTCATGGTCTCTAGCAACCACAACAATACTTTGGTTATTTTATTAATTAAATTGAAGTGAAATTTCACTTTTGTTTTCTTAAAGTGTTTATCAGAGAACTATAAATTTACAAATATGTCCAATGTGGTGAAGGCAATCAATTTGGTTTATCATTTCTGACTGTCTAAATAACTCCTTAGATGAAGAAAAGTAAATGATAATTAGTATATTTCAGACACCTTCTACTGTTTATTATGTAAATTTGAAAAAAATGACATTAAAATTTTCTTTTTGTTGTTGTTTATGTAGTTTTGTTATCAGAGTAATAGTGGTAAGAAGAATTAGGAAATGCTCCCTCAGTTTCTATTTCGTGGGATAATTTAAGGAGTATTGGCATTAGTTCTTTGAAGATCTGGTAGAATTCTTTACTGAATCAACTTGGCTCTGGACTGTTTGTGGTTGGGAGATTGTAATTACTGCTACTATTTCACTAGGGGTTCTAGGCGTCTTTAAATTGTTTATTTCATCTTGATTTAACTTTGATAGATTGTATATATGAAATTGTTAATCCATTTCTTTTAGGTTTTCCAGTTTGGCGGAATAAAGTTTTTTTTTTTAATTTTATGATATTTATATCTTATTATTTCATTTGTGTGTATTATATATATATATGCCATGTGTGTGAGTGCCTATAGAAGTCAGGAAGGAGTGTAGGATACCCTGGAGCTGGAGTTAACAGGGAAGTATGAGCTGACTGATATGGGTGCTAGGAACAGAACTTGGGCTCTCTGCAAGAACAGTACATGCTTCTCAATGTCTAGGAAGACATCCAGATGTCTTCCTAGCCCTAGAATACAGATTTTTAAATTTATTATTCTCTAAGTTATCTTGGTGTCTACTGTAATGTCTTCCTTTACTCTCTTTTTAAATTTGAATCATCTCTCTTTTCATCTTTGTTTAATTTGGCTATAGATTTGTCAATCTCATTGATTTTCTCAAAGAACCAACTCTTCATTCACTGAATTTGTATTTTTGATACTGTTGTTTCTATTTCACTGATTTCAGCCCTCGATTATTTCTTCTCCTCTTCTATTTTGGATATTCTCTATTGTTGTTTTCTATAGCTTTCAGGTATGTAGTTAAGTTACTATTATGAGATCTCTCCTAGTATATGATATAGGCACTTAGTGCTATGAACTTGCCTCATAGAACTGCCTTTACTGTGTCCCAGAGATTTAGGTATGTTGTGTTTTTATTTTCATTCTATTCTAAAAGGTGTTTCTTTGATTTATGCGTTCATCTAATTTTCATTCAGTACTGACTTGTTCAGTTTCCATCAGTTTGTATACTTCCTGTTTTGCTGTTGTTATTGTTGTCAGGATCCTTAAGCCATGACAGTCAGAGAAGATGCAAGATGTTATTTCAACTTTCTAATATCTGTTGAGAATTGCTTTGTGTCCCACCCCCACTCTGATATATTATAATGTTCAGGGATGATTTATTCATTTTGGCCTCTTGGGTGTAGTTAATCTTTTCAGACTGAAATACTGCATTATCTATTATGAATCTAAATGCAAAATTTCTCAAGAAAAGACTTGCAAACTGAATTCAAGAACACATCAAAGAGATTAGCTATCCATCATGATCAAGTTGGCTTCATCCCAAAGATTCAAGATGGTTCAAAGTATATAAATCAAAAAACATAATCCACTACATGATCATCTCATTTGATGCAGAAAAAGACTTTGAAATAATACACCTACCTGTGATAAAAAGTCTTGGAGAGATTAGGAATACAAGGTACCTTTTTCAACATAATAAAAGAAATTTGCATCAAATCTACATCCTCAACAGTGAAAAACACAAAGCATTTCCACTAAAATCAGAAACAAGACAAGGATGTCTACTCTCTTTATACATATTTAGTATAGGGCTTGAAATCTTACCTAGAACAATAAGACAACTTAAGGACATCAAGGGGATTCAAATAAGAAAAGAAGTCCAAGTATCTTTATTTGCAGCTCTTATGATAGTGTATGTAAGTTACCCTAAAAATTCCACCAGGAAGCTAATACAGCTAAGGAGCAAAGAAGCAAGACAAGCAAGACACAAAATTCACACACACACACACACACACACACACACACACACACACACACACACACACACACGAGTACCCTCTGTCTGACATCCAAATGAAAAACAAACTGAGAAAGAAATCAAGGAAACAGTACCTTTCACCACAGCCTCAAAAACAAAAAAATCTTGGGATAACTTTAAGTAAGCAAGTACTTGTACAATAAAATCTTTAAGGCATTGAAGAAAGAAATTGAAGAAGATATTAGAAAATGCAAATACCTCTGACATTCTTATATGGGTGGGAGTATTGTGACAAAGGCCATTCTACCAAAAGCAATCTACAGATTAAATGCAATGCCTACCAATATTCCAACACAATTCTTCACAGAAATTGAAAATGAAAATACAGTCTTCAACTTCATAAACAAACACAAAAACACAAGATCTCTAAAATAATTATGAATAATAAAAGAACTGCTGGAAGTAACACTATCTCCAAGCTCAAATTGTGCTAGAGCTACAGTATTAAAAAACATCATGTCTACACAGAGGAAACAAACAACAACAACAAAGAAAAACAGGATGTTATTGGCATAAAAATAAATATGAATGAATATTGATGAATGAAATTGAACTGAATATCAAAACATAAGTCCACACACCTATGATAAAGAAACCAAAAATGCACACTGGGGGAAAGACAGCATCTTCAACAAATGGTGCTGGTCAATCTGGATAGCTACATGTAGAAGAATGCAAATAGATCCATACTGTTACCCTGTACAAAATGCACTCCAAATGGATTAAGAAGCTTAGCATAAGACCAGATACCCCGCATTGATAGAAGAGTAGATGGGGAATAAGGATGACTTCAGTGGCACAAGAAAGGATTTCCAAACATGGTGTCAACAACACTGTCCTCTACAACAAATAACAATCAGACCTCATGAAAAGCTTCTGTACTGTAAGAACACGGCCATTTTTGCCCACATAATGAGAAAAAAAATCCTTACCAATGATATATCTGATAGGAGATTAATATCTAGAATATATAAAGAATTAAAAATAACTAAATATCAAGAAAACAACTTAATTAAAATATGGGATACAGAATGAAACAGAAAGTTCTCAAAAGATGAAACACAAATGGCTGAGAATTATTTAAGAACATGTTCAACATCCTAGGCCATCAGAAGACAGTAAATGAGAACTACTTTGAGATTTCTCTTACCCAGTCAGAATGATTAAGACCAATAAAGCAAATGTCAGCTGATACTGATAAGGATACAGGGAAAGGCGAATACTTATCCATTGTTGTTCGGAGTGCAAACTTGTACAGTCATTACTATGGAAATCAATGTAGTGGTTGTTCAGGAAGCTGGGAACAGATCTTCCTCAAGACAGAGCTATGCCATTATTAGGCATATAACCAAAGAACTCTATATCCTACTACAGAGATACTTGCTCATTCATGTTCTTTGCTGTTCTATTCATAGCAAGCAGAATTTAGAAACAGGTCAGATGTCTTTCAACTGAGGAATAGGTAATTAAGAATGACATATATTTACACAATGGAATATTATTTAGCTATTATGAAAATTGAACTTATTAAATTCATAGGCAAATGATTGGCTCTAGAAATATATAATTCTGAGTGAGATAACCCAGGCCCCCCAAAACAAATATTCCATGTTTTCCCTTCTATGTGATTGTTTGCTTTTACACTTTCAATATGCTAAAGTAACATAACAATAAAATGACTCCTGAGGACGTAGTGTTATACCTACATATAAGTGTCTTGCTCAACCTACACCAGAGAAGCTTCTTGTTACAGTAAATGGGAATTAACACAAAGACCCACAACTGGACCAGACACAGAGAGTGAGAGATTTTGGAGCACTTGGTCCTAAAAGAGATCCAGGTTCATTAATCTATGTGGAAGAGGAGGCAAAAAAAAAAAAAAAAAAAAGATTTTAGGAGCCAGATTGGAGGGATGACTCCAAGGAAATAGTGTCTTCCAGAGACAAAAGAACTGATGAACATATGAACTCACAGAGACTACATTAGTAAGCATGGGACCTACATAGTTTCAAGCCAGATGGGGTCGCAGTAGTGAGAGAACTGGACAATGGTTCCTACCTTTAACAATGAAGATACTTGTAATTGGTATCTATTGGTGAAGGGAAAATCAGTTTTCTACAATGGAGTGTTACTGCATATATGACCCTCCTCCAGGGCAGGAGTAGTAACTCAACACAATAGAACTCCATGGCTTTTTTTTAAATGTGGATTTTGTTTTTGAAAGACATACACACACAGAGAGAGAGAGACAGAGACAGAGACAGAGACAGAGAGAGACAGAGAGAGAGACAGACAGAGACAGAGACAGAGACAGAGAGACAGAGACAGAGACAGAGACAGAGAGAAGATGATGAAATTGGGTGAGTAGGGCAATAGGAGTATCTGGAAGTAGTTGAGGGAGGGGAAAATATGATAAAAAAAAATTTAACCAAAAAATATTTTTGTTGGTTTGAAAAAAAAAAAACCATCCCCCAAGGGGAGTGGCACTATTAGGAAGTTTGGCCTTGGTGGAGGAAGTATGTCATTATTGGGGCAAGCTTTAAGGTCTCTTTTGATCAAGCTTCCCTCAGTGTTATGGTCAGTTGACTTCCTGTTGCCTGCAAGCCAAGATGTAGCCAGCATGACATCTGCACACCACCATGTTCTACATGATGATAATGGACTGAACCTCTAGTCCCCTCAATTAAATGTTTTCCTTATAAGAGTTGCTGTGATTATGGTGTCTCTTCACAGCAATAAAAACCTTTACTAATACAATAAGATTAAAAAGACTAAGAAAGACCAAAAGAAAGAAAGAAAAGAAAAAAGAAAAGAAAAGAAAAATTATTGCTACATAAACTCATTTTCTTGTGGACATATGGAAAGGAACACAAATACAAATTTGAATTTGACTTAATCTCAAATTTTCCATGGTTATTGAGAAGTTCTTAACATAAAATTAAGGGTCAGAAGGCTCTCTATCCCTAGCCACCAATGGAAATATGCACTTCTTTCCACATAGCATTTTTAAAATTCATTTTGGTCCACTTATATCCATTGGGGCGAAAGTTCCTTGAAAGTTGAGATTCACTCAGCTTTCTTCACTGTGCACCTCAGCACTTCAACAGTGCCAGGTGCTCAAAAAAAGGCTTGAAAAATAAGGGTGGAATTAAAGAATCTACTGTGTCTTAGCAGGGTTTGTTTGATTCCACTATCTACAAAGATTCCCACTGTCAGTCAATTTCTTTATTTGATTTTGGTGAAAATAAAGGATTATTCTACCACAAGGGCACACACACAAACACACACAGCGTCTGTATACCTGAATGAATATGTAGGTTTTTTTTAATCTGTGAATCTGTGTATATAATCCTGAAAGAAAAGAAATCAAGCTAGAGATGGTCATTCTTCTACTATCAGTGGAGGTAAGAGCCATACCTAGGGTTGCACTTGTGTTCCCTTGGAATTCATTCTTGCAGAGTCTCATGAGGAAGCTGGACTTCCCCACCGCAGCATCTCCGGCAAGCACAATCTTGTAAGCCTTCTGAGATGTGGGTTTGGAGTTATTATCTACCATGTCTGTCTAGAAGGAAATAGCCACACAGGTGATGATGGGAGCCATTTTTATCCTAAGTAACATGTCATGAACAAAAGAGTCTCAGATGATACCTACTTGAAGTGAAAGAGCTGAGATGGGTTTTCTGGAGGAACTTCCAGTGCTGCCTTCACCAACAGACCCCCGTGGCTTCCAGTGTAAGACAGAGGCCACACTTTCAGAATCAAACGCTTCTTCATCCCTTATATCAGGAACCTATCCAAAAAAATCAACAATTAAAAATCAAGACTCTCACACATACATCACACACCAAAGAAAAATAAAACTATGCTACTGAGTCTACTATCAGTGTGATTATTGAACAAACCTCCTCTTAAGGCAAATCTTTGAGAATTCCTCCTTAGGTTGGTAGGGGGAAAATACATTCTAATGAATAAGCTTCCTATTTATGATCTTAACAGCACATAATCTGTGGTCCCATAAAACATGGTCAAGATTTTAGTCAAAGGAAGGCATCAGAGTACCATGGTTTCTAACTTACATCTGTGTCTGATTCATCTCCCCCAAGGCCCTCCTGTGTTCCATGTAAACTCTGAAATCCTCTCTGATGCTTGTAGTCCATCTCAGAGTCACACTCATTGGAGTCTCTCAGAGTAGACAAGCCACTGTCAAAACAACTCTCAGGCAAGCTGTCAACTTCATAATTCATCTTCTGCAGAGGATCACAGAGAGCCAAAGAGTCACAATCCTCATCTGCATATGAAGAATGGAATGACCTTGTGATAAAAGAGGAGACAACTTTACCAAGGAGTTCACAATGTACGAGAGCGCAAAGGAACAAGCTGACAACATTGTCACTTGCCAGGAGATTCATGATGTTCCCTTGGCATAGGAGAGGAAGTATAAAGTGCAATCAGTTCATTCTGTGCAATAATCTACAATGACAAAAGCCCTCAAATGCGAAATCTTATACATATAATTCTTTTAAATTGGCTGAACTATTTCCTGATACAAAGAATGAGTACCCTAGATACAAATACAATCTTACACTAATTAAATATCCCTAGAACACAAGATCTTTTTTACTATTGTACAGTTTGACCATATTTGGAATAGTTTGTCTATTTCTAGATTGTAACTCTTTTCTATTTGTTATTCCATTTGTTTGTTTGTTTGTTTTCAAGACAGGGTGTTGGGAAAATTTTCCCTTGGGAAAGAAGAGGGGCTATTAGGCAAAGACTACCCTCATTCAAAGTCCCAATGACAAAACTAAGTTCAATTTTACCAAAGTCTACCCTGGAAAACCAATGAGTTTATTGTGTATACATACAGAGCATGGGTCAGGGTTTACTGACCAGAATGTGAATGAGCCCAAACATCTGCACAGGAAAGTCTCACCCAGTGGGGAGGATGGCTTCCCCACAGTTGCACAAATAGAGCTCCCTCTCTTAGTCTTCCCAATACATACGTACTCCAGAATCTCCACAAGACTTCAAGGCCATGTGCAATTAGGGTAAAACACGTATAACTGGTTACAGGACAATGACTGAATACAAAGGTGAAGGTCCAATGACCCTCTCTATCCCCTCCTTCTATGAGGAAAAGTCAATAGTCAGTAGCCCAAACTTCAAGATTTTTTTGCAAGCAATCAGAGTTTTTATATTACCATACAAAAGAAAAGCACCCCGTTAACTTCATATATCATTAACCATCAGAAAAGAAGATCTATACAGGCCACGGTGGTTTCTAGTTGTGTTCAGAATGAGGAGCAGATGAAGCTGACTTTGCCTCTCTGTGGTCCTGATGATGTGATGAAGACACTGTCTCTTAAAACATACTATAGAGGAACTCTTATTCCAGTACCAGAGTCTCATCTGTGGCATCGTTCTTTCAAGAATAAATCATGAGATTTCTGAAGTAATTTTGTTTTTTATGCTTTCCTCTACATCTTGCTGAGAACTGCTCTTAACTATTAGTCCAGAAAAGTAGCATCGAATCTGCACATTTTAAAAATATGTATTTTAGTAATAGCATATTTCAACTACTTAAAAATAAATAAGCCACATTTTATAAAATTAGTAAATCAACAAACAAAAATCGGAACCATGTTTTTACACAGGCAGTCTGTAGTGAGGGACTTTCCCAATGGAAGCAAGAGCATCAGCTATCACCAGGTGTGGTAGAGCACTACTGTTCTGTAGTGAGAGACTGTCCCAGTGGCAGCAAAAGCATCACACCAAGTTTGGTGGAGCACTATTGATCATGACCAATTTGAAATCTGAGCAGCTATTGAATAACTTTCCCAATATTGAGACTGATGACAATCCCCATGGGGGAGAGAATGAAGAGCATCATCAGGAGGGGGATCAGATCATCATCCGTGCTTGAATGGGACTCTCCAGTGACACTGTTGTTTGGGGTCCCTCCTGTTCCTGTAAGTAAGCCCTATAAACTCACTGGTTTATCAAACTGGACTAGTATGGAACTGTAGCTTTAGCCTTTCCTTGATGTCCACTTATCCCAAAGAAAAACTCAGGCAATATTTGGATACTAAGAACATACTTATTTATACTGAAAGTACTCTCCCCACATACAAAAGGGGACAAACCTGAGTTAGAAAGCTTCAAACACACAGGAAACTTTAATGTATCCTTTTTCCTTTTTTTGAACACTTTGACATAACACAAACTTAGCTTTTAGCTACCAATGTTGTACATGAACATCCATGTGCGAGCGCACACACACACACACACACACACACACACACACACACACACACACACAAATAATCACTGTTTATTATTTGGTCTCTTAAGAGTCAAGTTAAATTCTAATTTTTGCAACTTTAATTCTAATTTTTGGTATATCTTGGTGGGTGTTTTAATATTTAGTACCTGATAAACCTAGTCACATTTTCTACTTTTTTACTTTTTTTAATATTAAACACTGACAGATCATGACAAAAGGCTCAAAACAATCACCATCCATAATGCAACAAACTAGGACATGATTAGAGGTAAGAATGGTGGATGTGCACACAATAAATCAAAGCATATTGAGAAAATAACTGCCCTCTAGGAAATATGTTTACTGTTTCTTCTTTTTTGAACTTATGGACATTAATGTTAGATCATAATAAATATAAATTATTACTTAAATATATTTCCTTATTTTAATTCAGCTCAAAGATAATTTGTCTTTCAACCTCAATGTACAACTCAGATAATAATAGAAGCAGGTGCTACATACCTGTCATAGGCCAATGGTTGAGAAGAATGGTGATTAAATTTAGGACTGCTTCTAGAAATTGTATTTCCTGGTGATATGTTATTTATACGCTGTAATACACAAATATTTGTTTAGTATGCAGACATTTTCTTTACCACAGATATATGTGTTTATGCAAACCCATGCAATTTAACTCCCAAAATAACCCCAAATAAAAAGTCTATGACTCCCACATGAGCAAATATAAACATGAAAACATCATTTGGAAAGTTTCAGCAAAGCTAACAGACATAGTTTCTCTTCCTGATCAGTCTTAGCTCTTACACGGCGCTAGTGCACATTCCACAAGAGTCTGCTAGCTCCTCAGATTTGCCAGGACCCCACAACATCAGATTTGTCTCTTCTGGAAGCATAATCTTGTTGAGTGACTATTCTGCATCCTAATATGGTCCTAGACTCTCCTGCCTAAAGCTGAGTCACTAAAGTGCCATAAGAGGCTTCATTGCAAGTGCAATCTGAGGAAACTTGTTTCCTACTGGAGGGTTTAAAATCCAAAACCCAAGGCCTTCATTCTTGCAAGAATCTGCTATAGGGAAGATAAACTAGCTGCCTCTTCTTGACTGGAAACATTTTTTTATTTTTATGATCACAAGAGTTCCCACTGTTTCTTATATTTTGCTTTCCTTCTAACTAGCTCTAATATTATTAAATCCTCCAAGCCTAAAATCCCATGTTCAGCAACTTTCTCTAGTCTCTTAGAATATACAATTTAAGAGTTTGGTTAACATCGTTGCATTTATTTCTACAAATGGGCAAAACATATTTTTAATTTAGAAAATTTTTATTTTATGTCAAGAGTGTCTCATCATAAAATCAATGTGAAGTTATTATAAAATATCACATGATGTTCCTATGCCAAAACATTTGATCATGAGAAAGAACAGACTATCTTGTAAGATGACATCACATACCAAGGATCTGTTGAGCTTGCTGTAAGTGTTTTCCAGCGCACTCCTGAGGCCATCATTACTGTCATGCAGCTTCCGGTTAGCTGTTCTGTATAGGAAAGAAGTTGACAAACAGATACAGGAAGTACTAGGGGATCAATGCTCCCACTCTAATTTCAGGTAGTGACATTCACAATGTACAGATATGTCACACATTTTGTAAACTTCTATTTCCTTTCCCTTTGAACCCCAGAAACAGATACAAAGTGCAATGACTGAATTGATTAGCTCTCTTTCCTGAAGGCCTGGGAGAATTTTAAGAATAAATTTGCTGGGCTATGGCACTTGCTCTTACCTTAAATAATTCCTGTGCCAATAGGCTTAATGCAAGTCTCTGTTCTCCCAGTTCACACAACTCAGCCCCAAGCACTGATGCATCATGCTATAGCATGCTGGCTATTCCTACATCTCATTCTCTTTACACCCTGATGGTATTTCAGTATCAAGCATACACTTAGTTACTGATCTCAGACTGATTGGGGTGTAAATACGAACTTTAGTAATTACTTCATGGGATATCATGAAAGTCATTTAATATCTGCTTCTCTTGGCTAAAAAATGAGGATCACAGAGTCCCTGTCTCATAGACTATCTAATTTTCCTGTTTATAGCCACTTCATCCTTCATATCACAGCCCTGTTATCACTCCCACCACGAGCACTTTATTAACCTTCCATAGCTCTCCATGGGGGAAATGCACTTTTCCTCTGTCATACCTCTCTCCTTTGGTGATATCTGTCATTTATTTCTATGAGTAAACAGTTTCTGTCTTCCTCTTCTCTCCTAGACGCATAAGCAGAGAGTTTTTTTTCTCTGCTTCTCACTATTCTATCCTCAGTTCCAGGGGTTCCTCACCCATGAAAGCTGCTAACTGAGAAATCTACTGTATGAGTTAACAAGTAAATGAATTAATAATACTATATAAAAAGTGACTTCTGCACTTTCCACCATAGAGAGTTAATGAACATTAAAAACTGGAAACATTTGCCCAGGCCATTTAGTGGACTGGAAACCAAAGAATATACTGTATAAGTGAAACAAATGAGGGAATATCAAGATTTCTTGAGAAAGTTCCTCAGAAGACGGAATTACTACAACTTAGTTGTGAAGTTGATAGATTAGGATAGAATTTCTTAGGAAATATTTTTTTAAAAAAACAAAGAAAAGAAAACTAAAAAAAAATGTATATCTGTAGTCAGCATAATAAAGTGAGAAAGAATGACTAAATGCTATCCGATTATCCCATTCATGTGAGGATGTGAGGAGCTCTCCAGATATGCAGTAGAGAGCAAAGAAGGTGAAGACTGAATTCCTCACAGAGGAATAATACAGATAGGTGTCTGACATACGCTTTTCTGACATGGAGGGACCTTGAGAACTAGACTGCGTTAGAGTAATTTAGTTAGAGGCAGATGAGTCAGGAAGTGAAGTGGACATGCCAAATATACTGCAGTAAGAACAAACAGTGACCTGAACTCTGGACATGGCAAATAGTTAATAAAACATGTGCCACATGTAACACAAACATTAGCTAAAATGCAATGAGCATTTCATATGAGAACTTACTGGAGGATTTCAATTTGCCTCTCAAGACTACTGCGATCTTCTGTGTACTCTCGGATTATTTCCAGATCCCTGAAAAATTATACGTAAGGTTTCAGTGAGGAGAGATGAGACAGCAGGTATGAGCATGAGGCACAGCAGATCTCAGCACTAGCTTCCAATCCTTACAAGCTACCATGCCTCATCTGTAAAAATCTGTCTTTTGCTGCTGAGGTAAAATCCAATTGCATATAGGAATCTAAGTTCCTCAGTCAAAAATTCTGATCCCTTTCAGAATGTCTGTAAACTAGCTTACCAGTTTTTAGTGTGTTTTTAAAGGTATTTCCTATTCAAACCATTTTTTTGTACAACAGTCTGATCATTTCTTCCCAAGTCAGTCTTTCTTCTCTATTTCATTGTTTCTCTGACTTTCCTCTTACCTACAACATCTGTAAGACTTTTTTTTTCCATCTGTGATGTGGCGATAATAAAGGTTCCTACAAGATAGGATAGTCTATGGATGAAGGCATAAACATTAATAATGTGCTAAGGATGCTCCTGGTGGATGTCAATGTTAGTTGTGTTCGTAGATATTACTGCCACTAGGTCCTCTTGTCCTTGGTCCAACATAAGCTGACCTTTGCTCCAGTATTCACCTCCTGTATTTCCTTAACACGGGCTGAAACAAGGCAGTTACCCAGCCCTGATGTTGCTAATGGTATTACTGCTGACCCTCAGTGTATACTGCTTAACTTTTTGTCTTGGCTTTCCCAACTGAACTTGAAATTTTTAAAGGGCAACAGTATGTTTCTTTTATTTTATATATGCTGAACTCACAATCCAGAAAGAACATATCCAGTAAAAGTTGTACAGTTTAATACTACAAAGCCTTAATTCTGATTGAAGTATGAAAATGAATAAAACCATTTCCCCCAAATGCCCAAATTTACTCTCTGTATATGCATACATCTTTATCTCTTACATAGAATGCCTGACTCTGATTATGAGAGGTTCTAAGTTATTAACACCAATACCTCAAAACAAATGCACTGAATAATTAATAACTCTTATTCTTATGTTTTACACCAGCATTCCTATTTGAAAAGCACTTTTAACAGAAGATTGTATTTACACAGTATTTTCTTCCCCCAGCCCCCTAAACCAAACATTTGTCAAGTCCTGCACTATCCTACGAGGCAAATAATCAAATAGTTACTCTTTTAAAAAGATTAAGCATGCATACACACACACACACACACACACACACACACACACAGAGAGAGAGAGAGAGACATGGAAATTTGTCATTAAATGTACCATAATTAGAAATATATATATGTATATATACATATATATATATATATATATATATATATATATATATAATTTTCCCCAAAGTTAATGAATGACTCTCTATTATGAATAGTTTCCTACCGTTCAGAATTCAGACTCTGGTCGGCAAAATCACTTTTCAAAGCATCTAGTTCACTCTGAAGGAAGGCTACATTTGTCTGGGCTTCCAAAAGATCTTTCTTGAGTTTTTGATTTTCCTAAAGAAAATGAACCAAGAGGGACATTAGACTCAGAGTTTCTTGCTTCTAGAAAAATGAAGCAGTACATAGTATAACCCCATACAAATAAAGCTCCTGCCTTTCTTCAGTTTTTCACATCTTCCTATTCACAGAACCAATTATATACTCAAATATTGTACATTATGAAAGTTTAAAATGGTTTTTCATTTAGTACCTGACACCAGTCCCAAATTATAATAAACAAGGTCTGGTAATAATGCACTCATATTATTAGAAAATTAATCAAGATGAAATATATAAACACCTTCCCAAAATTAGTTATACTGGTTGCTTTTAATAATAAATACTATCATCTAATTTGTTTGAAAATGTAATTAATAATAGACAGGTATAGTTATCAAATTTTACATTTTTCTTTTTCTTTTTTCTATTTATTTATTTATTTATTTATTTATTTATTTATTTATTTATTTATTTATTGGTCTTTCGAGACAGGGTTTCTCTGTGTAGCTTTGCGCCTTTTCCTGGAACTCACTTGGTAGCCCAGGCTGGCCTCGAACACACAGAGATCCTCCTGGCTCTGCCAGGCTGGCCTCGAACACACAGAGATCCTCCTGGCTCTGCCTCCCGAGTGCTGGGATTAAAGGTGTGCACCACCATCACACAGCTACATTTTTCTTTAAAAGAGAAATCACTGGACACTTGTGGTTCAAATAGTTGATTGTGCACACAGATGGTCTATTTCCCCTTCCCAGAAAACCTCATGAATATGAAATTACATTGGAAACAAACCATTTACAGTTAAAGGAATGGAAGAAGGGATCATGAATTGCCAAATTACTTAAACACATTTCTAGAAATTGGAGACTAGATGATGGGTGCCACCCCAAAGAAGAGTTAGGAAAGACAATGGGTAATGTGGGGATATAATAACTTTAGACAAACTGCTGTGGAGCCTCCATGGGACTGGACTAGGCCCTCTGCATAAGGGAGACAGTTGTGTAGCTTGATCTGCTTAAGGGGCCCCCTGGCAGTGGCATCAGGATCCATCCCTGGTGCATGAGCTAGCTTTTTGGAGCCCAATGCCTATGGTGGGACACTTTGCACAGCCTTGATGCAGGGGGAGGGGCTTGTACCTGCCTCAATTGAATGTACCAGGCTCTGTGGACTCCCCATGGGAGACCTTTCCTTGTTGGAGGAGGGAATGGGGGATAGGTTGGGGGGAAGATGGGAGGGGCAGGAGGAGGGAGAAGGGGATCTGTGATTGGTATGTAAAATGAACTAAAAAATTCCTTAATTAAAAAGAAGAGTGTACCCCACACCACAAAGCTTTTCCCCCAGTTTCCAGGTGTAGAAGTGACACAGAACCTTTTAAGAAGAAAAGCCAAGTAGGTGTTCCTTAGGTCAGTTGGGGTGCTGTATATGGAAGTGATTTTTGGAGGTCAGTTGCTGCTCCCTGTTTACACTTCTGGCTCCATGCTTCAACTGTCTACTAGGAGGTCCACAGTGAAGCTAAGCTGACACTGTCCCATGATCTTGAATCCCTACAACTCTGAAATAAATAAAACCTTTTCCTTATAAAGTAAGCCTGCCTCCAGTATGTAATCATGCTAATAAAATGCACCAAGGCAGCATTCTAAAAACAAATGTTTAGGAGGTCCTGCAGAAGAAAACAAGAGAGGCCAAGTGGCCACATCAAGGTAGAATGAAAAGTGGAACTAGGGGGCTAGAGAGGTGGCTCAGGAGTAAAGGATTCTTGTTGCTCTTCCAGAGGATCTGTGTTCTATTCCCAGAACCCACATGGTGACTCACAATCATCAGTAACTACAGTTCCAGGGGATCCAATGCCCTCTCTTGGCCTTTATGAACACCAGGAACACATATGGTGCAGAGACATACATTCAGGAAATATACCCATATACAGAAAGTAAAAATAAATAAATACTTTAAAAGGAGAGGGCAGGGAAAAGAAATTAAAATGAACTGTGCATGGTAGCACTTGTCTTTAATTACAACACTGAGGAGGTGGAGACAGGTGGATCTCTGTGAGTTTGAGGCCAATCTGATCTACATAATGTTTCTACTCACTTAGTCATTTAGACAAACTTTCAAGGAAATGTGTGTGTGTGTGTGTGTGTGTGTGTGTGTGTGTGTGTGTGTGTGTGTCTGTCTGTCTGTCTGTCTGTCTCCAATAACATATCAAAGGTATAGTGACCAGCACTGGTCTATCATAGTTTAGTAACAAATGCCACATACAAAAATAAAGAATGATATTAAGAATTTAAATTTTTTAAACTTTAACAATGTACAATATTTGAATCAATAATTGGTTCTTTGAACAAGAAGATTTGAAGAACAGGGAAAGTTAAGAGTGTGAGAGTTATGTACTGCTTCATTTTTCCCAGAAACAAGAAACACTGAGTGTAATTCATTTAAGGAAATATTATGTTATAATGAAGTAAAAAAATTCAGGACCACAGCCTAGGAGTAAGCCCACCCACAATGAACTCTGCCTTCCCATATCAATCACCAATTAAGAAAATGTCTGACAGGCTTGCCTATAGGCATATATATATATATATATATATATATATATATATATATATATAGAGAGAGAGAGAGAGAGAGAGAGAGAGAGAGTACATATATATGTATATCAAGATTAAAACAATCCAATAAAAATTGTCATTTCATGACCTCCAAAATCAATATTTTCAAGGGAAAATAAAGAACTTTACAGTAATGGTGACATAACAAAGATGGTTGAGTATTTTTGTACCACCTAGTTCTATAAGAACTTGATATAAGTTGCAGTTATTGGATCTGGCTATAGGCAAGCCTGGCAGACATTTTCTTAATTGGTGATTGATGTCAGAGAGCACAGCCCATTGTGGGTGGGCTTACTCCTGGGCTGTAGTCCTGGGCTCTATAAAAAAAAAAAGAAAGAAAGAAAGAAAGAAAGAAAGAAAGAAAGAAAGAAAGAAAGAAAGAAAGCAGGCTGAGGAACACAGAGGAAGCAAACCCATTAGCAGCACTCCCCCATGCCCTCTACATCAGATCCTGACTCCACATTCCTACCCTGCTTGAGTTCTTGCCCTCACTGCTTTTGATAAACTGTTATACAGAACAATATGTGAAATAAACCCTTCCCAAGTCACTTTTGGTCATGGTATTTCATCATAGTAATAATAACCCTAACTAAGAATCCTTTAAAACAAGAAACCAGGAACAGAGTCAGAGAATCCAAGAAAGCAAGCAACTCTTCATGAAAGTCATGATCAAAATTGTGGTAATATATTGTGTTCCCCCAATATATTGTGCACTCTAATAAACTTATCTGGGGTCAGAGGACAGAACAGCCACTAGATAGACATAGAGGCCAGAAAATGGTGGCACACACACCTTTAATCCTAGCATTCTGGAAGCAGAAATCCATCTGGATCTCTGTGAGTTCAAAGCCACACTGAAAACAGCCAGGCCTGGTGACACGTGCCTTTAATCCCAGGAAGTGATGGCAGGAAGCAGAAAGGTATACTAGGCATGAGGACCAGGAACTAGAGCCTGGTTAAGCTTTTAGGCTTTTAGCAGTAGTTCAGCTGAGATCCATTCGGGTGAGGACACAGAGGCTTCCAGTTTGAGGAAACGAGATCAGCTGAGGAATTGGCGAGGTGAGGTTAGCTGTGGCTGGTTCTTTTCTCTGATCTTCCAGCATTCACCCCAATACCTGGCTCCGGGTTTGTTCTTATTAATAAGACCTTTTAAGATTCGTGCTACACCAAATAAAGACAACTACGATGCAGTGTCGGGAACGGCTGAGACTGTGAGGCTAGGAAAATTCTCTCCTAAGTGGGATAATGACAACTGACTAGATAGAAAGCTATGCAATCTCAGCTCAAGAGTCAGAGTAAGCAAAACACTTTTAATATTCGAGAGTAATATAAAATAAAACCAAATCAGAGGTAAATGTTACTGATTTTTGCAACAGAGAAAACAAACAGAAACAGGAACATACAGAAAAGGCCTAAGGAAAAGCTGAAGGCAGGGAAAATCACACGTACAAAAGCAGGGACGCTTCTAAAGGCATGAGGTTAACCAAAGTAAGATAGCATTCAATACTGTGTGCACATTACTTTAAGTAAATTAACTTTAAAAAAAAATCTACTCATAAGTGATATTTAATAAGAGGGGTCTTATAGTTACTCAAATAGATTTTCTGTAATTATACTATCAGTTTCTCTTAAAACTTTTATTCCAGAATCACAGAAACAACAAATAGCATGCATATGTACATGTTGTCTGTGTTGGTTCATTTTCTGTCAACTTGATACAAGTTAGAGTCATTTGGTGACAGGTAATCTCAACTTAGAAAACACCTCCATCAGACTGGAGTAGAGGCAAATCTGTTGGGCATTTTCCTGATTAATGATAGATGTGGATGGACCCACTGTGCATGGTGACATCCCTGGGCAGGTGGTCCTAGGGATGTAAGAAAGCAGGCCATGGGCATAAAGCAGTAAGCAGTGTTCTGCCTTGGTTTTTGCTTCTCTTCCTACCCTAGCTTCCCCTGGTGATGGACTGTTACTTGAGAGCTGTCAGATGGAATACACTTTCCTCCCCAAGTTGCATTTGGTCACGGTGCTTTATCATACTTAGAGAAAAATAACAAAGACACTATCTAAAAGGAAATAAATTTCTTCCAGTGAAGGGTGATTCTTACCATTGTTAAATCATAAATTTGTTTCTTTAATGCTGTCACATCTTGCTTTTGACTTATGTGTCTTGACTGTTCTTCAAGCTGAAAGAGCAAACAAAAGATAGGTATTTGGAAACTCATTTAGAAGCATTTTGGTGAAGATTAAAGATATGCTTGAATATTAATGTGGGAATTCTAGCAGTTTTCAATTTTTAACATCTTATGGATTTACAAATCACTAAATGACAAAATCTATAATATTCAAGATTTTTTTAAATAATACAAACAATTTGAGAGGGACTTTTATTATTAAATGTATTTTCTTTAAAGCACTGCAAAAGTCATTTTGGAAACCACTCCATAATAAAACAACCTAATCCTTTCTTTCCTTATTTGCTAAAAGAATATGGGCATTCTCTTTCATCCTGTATGCTTAACACTTTGTTTTACTTTGTAATATTCTTACCTCCTGTTAGAGTGTGGGAATTTTTTTTATTGTTGATTGAGATAGTCTCATATCATACAGGCTGGCCTCAATTTTGCTTACTTTGCTGAGGCTGGCTTTGAACTCCTGACAATCCTACCTCTCAAGTGCTGGACATATAGATAAGTAGTAGAAACAGAGGTGTTCATTACCACAATCTTGGGCTTTTAACTCTGTATTTGGCTCTGTGTTTCTCATTTAATAAGACCTGTTAAGATTCCTGCTACAACCATCAGCTATAAAATTTTTTTTAAAAAATGAGTGTTAATGTCAGACTCTCCTGTTTTCTTCATAGTGAACTTTAAAAATGCTTACAATAATAAATGAAATCACTAATATCTAAGCACATAAGCATGATGTGAAGCTAGACATGCACAGAGAGAGAATAAATTATAAATGTGCATACATGAGGTCTGCTTGCTGGCTGATACATTCATACCAGAATTCAAGAATATCTAAAACAAAAATAACTTTCCCATGAGTCAGCTGTGGTGGTATACAACTGTGAACCCAGAATTGGAAGGAACAGGCAGGAAGAGCATAAGTTTAGAGCCAGCCTAGGATACACAATGAATTCAAGGCCAACCTGAGAAATAGATTAAGACTATGTCTCAAAAGGAAATGTCAAAAAAAGGGGGGGCCCAAAGTACCACATTTTCTTAGTACTGCAAACAAAAACAAAAAGACTTGACTCCGAAGAAGTAACTTCCCAGATCTGTGAGGTTTTGTTTGCAGGTGTCCTCAAACAGAGGGCTTCTGCACTAGCCAAAAGGTTTACCAGATTTCATCATGCTCATGTGCTTTACCTATGAGCATTACCCATCTTGCCAGAAGCTATCATGTGACAAGACTTCCATGTGACTAATTGTGACTGACAGATGCATATTAACTGGGTTTGTTGTCTGGTGAAGACTGTCTCATTTTCTAGGCATTGCCTTCTGCTAGATTGCTTTCTTTTCATATACCCTTTGTATTGACTCTCCTCCAGAGCAGGAGGCAGATCTGGATCCAGCCTTCTACATGTGTTTATCTAGTTTACTTAGCACCACTTGCTAAGAAAGCCTGTTGATTCTCCAATAATGTCCATTGATCTGTGTGTCTTTCAATATGCCACTTCTGTGTTGTTTTCTATTACTATGCCTGTAGTATAATTTGAACTTAAAATTGGTTATCACAACATATCTAATAAAAAGAGAGATGCATTATAACTTCACAGAAGAAAATTATGAAGGAAAAAAAACCTAAGACTCTCAGAATAATGGCAGTCACAATACTCTTTAAAGTATTTTCTTTATAATTTTTGAGAGCACTTAACATTCTCTCCGATAAATAGTTTTACTGTTCTATACAGCAAACATACTACCAAGTGGGCAAGAAGTCTGAAAGGAAAGTAACACAGATTCTACCAGCTGGATAATTTTGAGCAGGCCACATTCATCCTATCTGGAACTTAGTCCTCATTTAATACGATCCTCAAAAGTGAGTTCATATTTAGCATTTCAAACTCAGTGAATGATCTTAATAAATTATAGTCAATAAAATAACAATTACTACAGTTAGTCAGGATAATTCATTATTAAAACTATGTTTTAAATGAGAAGTTAAGGATTGAAAATATTAAGAAAATACTTCTATGTGTTATACGGAAAAAATGGTATAATTTCAATGAGGGCTCAGGTCAGGCCTCATCATCCTCACTTATGATCTCTCACTGTTAGGACCTCATCATATGTTATATCAGGTAACAATTTCCACATCTATCCTTGCAATGTAAAGAGCTGGGAACTCATAGAAATAAATGAAGACAATGACTAGAAGAGTCCATGGATAAGCTGATTCATAATTCTGGAATCTATTCATAGTATGATGGTCTAGTTATTATTTAAAACAACTACATATAAGATAAACATGGTTTAATTGCTTTATAGAGAACTCCTAGATGATTCTCAGTCACTGCAGAGACTGAGATGATCATGGGTTACAATGGCAAGTTAACTGTAACTTAACTTTTCTTAACTGCTAGTGATGCTTATGTTAAGGGCAGTCTCATTTGGGGTGCCACATGTTACTGGGGAAATATGGTTCCCCTGTTGAGGGTCTTAGTCTCAATAACAAACAAATTAAATAAGAGACTCAAAAGAAATCAAAAGGACAATTTTACTATAATTTAAAGGAAAAATCTTAGACAGGTAAGCCTTAATTTTTGCAGCTGCTCAGGGGAGAAAGATGTTTAAAAGGAAGGCATGCCCTTTGGGTAAGACTGGTATATTCAGCAATGGAGGTCTGCCACAATGCAGACAAGTGCCCCATGGCAAAAAAAATGTGGTGGGGAGGAGTTGAGAGAAAGAATAAGGCGGCCTTAGACTGCATTGGGAAAAGCATGCCTAGAACAGACATGGAAGAAAACAAAAGTTAGGCTTTCCTGGGTAATTAAGAAAAGCTGGCCGGGCGGTGGTGGCGCACGCCTTTAATCCCAGCACTCGGGAGGCAGAGCCAGGCGGATCTCTGTGAGTTCGAGGCCAGCCTGGACTACCAAGTGAGTTCCAGGAAAGGCGCAAAGCTACACAGAGAAACCCTGTCTCGAAAAACCAAAAAAAAAAAAAAAAAAAAAGAAAAGCTGGCAGAGGAAAGGAAGCTCCATGGATGCCACTCAGTAAGCACTGCACAGAAGGCAGTTTCTGGGAAGGATAACTCCATTATCTTATATTAAACGGTTAATCATCCCTCCCATCTCTTTAGCATGGCATTAGGTGAATCCACCTTCCTGAAGGGTGATCCCTTAAACCAGGAGACTCCCTGGCCCAACTGGATTAACTCTTAATATTTTGGGTAACATAGAATGGTAGGTTTCTATACAAGTTAAGTTAAATAGATTGTATGCTCTTGACCGGAAGGAAATGGCCTTCCCTTAATGGCCCTCTGATGATACTGAAGTATTTAATTTTTAGTTCTGTTTACTTAAGCTATTCCCACTACTTGTGGAAACAACCACAAGTTATATGTGGTTGTGAGCTTAAGATGTGATATCTTAAGTTATATAAGATGTGAGCTTAATTCTGAGATAGATCCATCTTATAGTGACAGGTGAGAGTTTACTTCTGCATATGGGGATGTGAATTTGTAGCATGATGTCAATAACACTACAAGCATCTGCACCACGGAAGCTGGTAAGGGCTACAAAACTCCCCTGTCCCACTGCCCCACTCCAGAGTCACTCATTAACATGTATAAGCCTATCTGAGAGTACAAAGAACCTGTTCATTGGAACCAAGAAGGAGAATACCAGTAATCAAACATGCTTTTGCTTGTTTCCACAAATGTTTTCTTACTTCTCAATGATCAGGTGATTGTTAGACCTGGAACTTTCTACTTAAAAGACAATTTTTATTTCACTTAATATTTACTAAATATCTGCTATGCACATTATAGTAAGCTAAGAACACAGGGATACCTGGCATAGACAGACAATGTTTCAATAAGGAACACACTTTCCTCTGCATGCAGGGGATTCCCTCAAAGCACTTGGTGAATGAAAAGTAAAGAAGTAGGTTTGATGAACTGTTCAAGGATAAGACTTTTTTTTTTTTTTTTTTTTTTGGTTTTTCGAGACAGGGTTTCTCTGTGTAGCTTTGCGCCTTTCCTGGGACTCACTTGGTAGCCCAGGCTGGCCTCGAACTCACAAAGATCCACCTGGCTCTGCCTCTCGAGTGCTGGGATTAAAGGTGTGTGCGACCACCGCCCGGCAAGGATAAGACATTTTATTATTCCCATGTTATAAGTCAGATGGTCCAAGAGCTAGAAGAACTATGGGGAGGGGGCTTTAAAAATCAGAGTCTCTCAAGGAGTTAAACTGACTCAGTAATGTCATTCTTTCTTCTGCTTCAACATAATTCTAAATGTTTTTCATTTTCAATGTCTTAGACACAGTGAGATACTAAAGCTATTTCCAGAATGTCTATATGCCATGTACATACCTTTTTTAACTTTTTAATGGTCACCTGTAGGTCTCCCACTTCTGTTTCATACTGACGTCTGAGGTCACTGAGGGCTTCCTCTGCTTTGCGTTTTTCCTAGAGGGAAAATGAAAGACATCATTTAGGTAATTTCTGTCTCTTAAATGGCCTTCAAATTCTCATAGGCATGAAGTATTTCATATCAAGCTAAACTGACAAAAATGCTCCTAGCCGGGCGGTGGTGACGCACGCCTTTAATCCCAGCACTCGGGAGGCAGAGGCAGGTGGATCTTTGTGAGTTCGAGGCCAGCCTGGTCTACAGAGCGAGATCCAGGAAAAGGCGCAAAGCTACACAGAGAAACCCTGTCTCAAAAAACCAAAAAAAGCCGGGCGGTGGTGGCGCACGCCTTTAATCCCAGCACTCGGGAGGCAGAGCCAGGCGGATCTCTGTGAGTTTGAGGCCAGTCTGGTCTACAAAGTGAGTTCCAGGAAAGGCGCAAAACTACAGAGAAACCCTGTCTCGAAAAACCAAAAACAAAAAACAAAAAACAAAAAACAAAAACAAAAAAAAAATGCTCCTAAACAGGAAGGGTGAAACTAAATGGCAGAAGGATACCAGGATGTTTTAGGTGTGCAGGAGTGCTGGACTTGAGACCTACAAAAATGGAAGAACTACAGAATGTCAAGATTCGCACATCATCCTGATGTACAGTCTCTAAGACTGTAGCACCGTGATAATACCACAGCATACCAGTGAATCAGTTAACCATTGCTCTCAAAAGATATAGTACAGCTGTGGGATCCAGTGAACACATACATCCTATGATGGCTCAGGACCTGTTATCCTATCCTTTCCATTTTACCTGAATTCAAATCACATCATCATAAATGTCTATGGAGCAACTGTGATAGGCTGGGAGAGTTCCTTAACAGGGGTATAGTCTGAGAAATGTTATTAGGTGGCTTTGTCCTTGAGTCAACATGATGAAATGCACTAACACCAAGAAAGGTGGCTACAACCTCCCCAGGCATTAATGATGGGAGTGGAGACACTGTTACATAGCACATGACTGTATGTTGCACACTCCGATGTGTCCCATTGAGTTTCCCTGTAGATGACAGTAACAAAAAGGCACACCAGAGGGCGCAGGGACTGCTATGCAGACATCTCTACTGAGGTGGGAGGAATGGACTTGGGTAGAAGACTGGAAACTTTCCAAGCTGCTGGCTACATGCTGGAAAACAGAGTCTGTGAAAAAGCTGAGTAACATATAAGGGATCTATAAAAGACAACAATGACCCCATCACGGTCTTTTGGAACAGGACTTTTATATTACAGATCCATTAGCTGTCTTTTTCTGTCCCAAAAGCCACTGAGCCCCCTTGCAGTTTGTCCCTTATGACAAAGAGACAGGCAAGCACCTGCAGGAACAGGAGAAAAGCAAACCAAGTCACTCATTTCCCCACCCAGAGTGGACTTGCAAGACAAAGCTGATTAGCTGTGCTGTGAACTTGCAGCACCTCCCCCTTGAAGCTGCAAGACAAGTTTATGGTCAGGCCAGGTCAGGCTAGATCACAGCTTGTTGGGAATAAAAGAACAAACCCAAGACTCTAGTGACAACAAAGCAGTTTTTAATAATATACAATTCTGCAGAAAGAGACACTAGCATAAAGGAAAAGCAAAATAGCTAGTGTGCTGATTTGGCTCAATACGGTGATTTTTTTTTTTAAGTCCCCAGATATTGGGAAATTCCTGTCCTCTTCTTACATAGGCTGACTTGCCCCCTTATCAAATCCACCATCTTAATTGATTTAATGCACAAAGCCTTTTCTGATGAATAATTTGGAGCTTGAGATTGCCCTTTTCTGATCTTAGACTCAGTCACTTATCAGATTATGTGTAACTTCCCAACTCTTAAAGAGTTTTGATATGAACAGGTGCCACTGGACAGCTAGGGGTGAGAGGACCCATCTCCTCCTACTTATCTATAACTCTGTTGAACTCTAAGTGCTCCCCATACTTAAAATGGACAATGGCAATTTATTTCTTTCAAGTCTCTTTTCTCTCTTTTACTCTCATTGGTCCTATTTTCAGATTGTTTTAATTATTTTTGTTGCTGTTGTTAACTCATTCGCAATGGTAGTTAATCCTTGAGGGGTATTTGTGATTGTCTTATCAGGAGCTGTGCTCTTGCTAATCAAGGCATAACATCTTCCACAAAGTATGACACAAACATCTCCTTCTCGGTTAGTGTCATTAAGTCGATTCTCCCAAGCCATTCAGTTAAAGATATTCCTTCAAGATCATTCCTAGTATATTCAATAAATCCTTGTTAATTAAAACAAATGGTCATTTCAGTCGACATTCTTGTCTACTGCTGACCCTTAGAATATAGCCAATTCAAACCCTGTAGCTATTTGGTTTTTAGCATTACTTTGGAACTCCCCCGGTAACTCCTATAGAGTCAACATAGACATCAAATAATCTAGGCATTGGGGCTGGAGAAATGGCTGAGCAGTTAAGGTTACTAGTTGCTTTTGCAGAGGACCTGAATTTGGTTCCTACCACTCACATGGCAGATTACAACCATTTGTACCTCCAGTTCCAGGGGATCTCATGCTCTTTTCTGGCCTCCATGGGCACCAGGCATGCACACAGTGCAAAGAAATACATGCAAGCAAGACATTTATACACACAAAATAAAAATAAGTAAATGTTTTTAAACCTCTTTGCACTGGAATTGGCTTCACTAAGCAAAGGTGAATTGAATACCAAAGTTAAGGGTAAAGAACTACTGAACCAACATGCATGTCCTAAGGAAGTCAGGTGGTGACATGAATAAAGGTTCACCTGTATACAGTACCACCAAAAGTCAGCTCAGGAGACAATGAGGGTCCCTTTGTTGCTTCGGACATCCAGGATATCGGTATAGACTCAAAAAACAAAGAGTCAGAAGAAGACACATTCAAAAACTGAAAAACTATATATATAATAATACCTAAGGGGAAAAAATGTTCAGTATCCTTAGAAACTAGGAAAATGCAATTCAGAACAACTCTGAGATTTCATTAGACCCAAGTCATAATAGCTAAGATAAGCACAACTACCAACATACAATAAATGCTGGACCGGATGTAAAGAAAACAGAGCCCTCATTCATTGTTGTTGGGATTGCAAACTAGTATAGCCTATATGGAAATCAGTACAGAAAATTAACAAAAAACTAAAATAATTCTACACATAGCCCATTCCATTCTTTAGCATATGCCCAAAGGACTTGACCCCACAGATACTTGCTTAGCCACGTACATTGATGCTCTATTCACAATAGATAGGAAAAAGAAACAACCTAAATGTCCTTCAACTGAGGAATGGATAAGGAGTGAAAATGTGATTCATATTCACATGATGGAATACTACTCAACTGTAATAAAAAGTGAAATCATGAAACCTGCAGGTAAGTGGATGGAAGTAGAAAAAATTATATTGAGTGAGGTAACCCAGACACACAAAAAGAAAAATGCATGTTCTCTCTCATCTGTCGTTCCGAGATTCAAATCTTCAGATGTGAGTATTTAGCCTGAAATAATCACAGAAACTAGGAAAGTAAAAATGTACCAAGAGGGCAGGAGTTGGTACTAGAGAGGGGAATAGCAATCTACAAGTGACATAAATGGGAAAATGGGAAAAATGGTGGAGGCTTTAATTGAAGAAGAGAAAGAAAGTCAATACAGTAGGAAAGAGGGAGGCAAAATAACACTACAACTTTTGGAGGGAAAACATAAGAATCATTAGCCTTTATTTATCAAAAAGGACATATAATACATATAGATGCATATGTATACATATAAAACTTAAATCTTCAATATGTCACTTGGGCTTACAATGCTCTCCACAAGAGCCATGAATTAACAAAATCCTCAATACCAGGAATGAAAAACCCTCTTTCAAGTTAGGGGAGTCCAAGAGACTCCAAAAACAATATGGGCTATTGTGCTGCCCTTGGTTTCCTCTCAGAGTTTTATGTAAGTCCTTATTACTGAAGATGTCATATACTTTGTATGGGCCTATAATCCAAAAATCTTTTCCCTGGGGAATAACATTTTTTGTGGTGGAACTGAATTGAATTGAAGACCCTTATTATTAATCCACATACCTATGAACATCTGATTTTTGACAAAGAAGCCAAAACTGTACCATGGAAAAAAGAAAGCATCTTCAACAAATGGTGCTGGCATAACTGGATGTCAACATGTAGAAGGCTGCAAATAGATCCATACCTGTCACCATGCACAAAACTTAAGTCCAAGTGGATCAAAGACCTCAACATAAATCCAGTTACACTGAACTTGATAGAATGGAATAACTTTCATAATACCAGATATTGCTATAGAAGCTGCCAAGGAAGAGATGCAACCAAAGTCCTACTCAACTGTGAGCTTATATACCACAAACATGACCAGCATGGCATGTTATCTCTAAGGGTACAATTGTGGCACAAATTTGTTGGTGGTAACCAACAGCTGTCTAATTGTACTTATAGGCCACTCAACAGCAGGAAAATCATGTTTCGTACTGGAGACTTATCCAACTACCCATGGCTAGTGAGGTCATGAACCTTAGAAGAGAACCTTTTTACCACTTTACTAAACCAGCATAATTCCTAACTGCATTCTAAATACTCATCCTAACAGCCAAAAATAAGTGTAGCTACTGTTTTCCCTCACACCCCAACCCCACTCCCCCACATCAAAGAAGCATCTCCTTGCAACTGAAGACCAGTGTGGAAAACCACAAATGGTCAAAATACAGAGAACAATCAACTGTGAAGTGCCCAGTCACAATGGATACACATAAAGCACAACTCATGAATGTACAGCTCAGGGATCTGATGTGGGATGTCTGAAGTGGGATCTCTTTCTGTACAGTGTGAATATATGTTGCTCTGATCTGTTGATAAATAAAGCTGTTTGGCCAATGATGAGGCAGAATAATGTTAGGCAGTACATTCAAACTGGAGAGACAGGGGAAGAAAGGAGAGTGAGGCAGATGCTGCAAGCCACCAGAAGCAAGATGTGAAAGTAACAGTAAGCCATGAAGCCACGTGGCAATATATAAATTAATAGAAAGTAGCTGAGTTAAGTTTTAAGAGCTAGCTAGCAAGAAGCCTGACCCATAGGCCATACAGTGTGCAAATAATATAAGCCTCTGTGTGTTTACTTGGGACCAAGCAGACATGGGTGGTAGAGATTCATTCCAACCAGTGTCTGGGTAGGACCAGAGAAACTTCCAGCTATAGGGATCATCACGAAAGAGAGAAAAGAAATATTGTAAAAGCCAGAAGAATGGAAAATCTGCTGAGAGAGTGTATCTCCTAGAAAGACAGAGAAGCTACACCCATGATATCGAAACACCATCATGACCTGAACAAAACTGGAACAAGGACAACACGAATAAGCATGCTAAGATGGAGGGGAGACAAAAAAAACAAAACTCTAGACAAAAAACTACTAAGGAATGATGAAGGAGAGAATTAGTCTTCCTTGGGGATGAGACCTTTAACTGTTACCTAATACCAAGCAGTCAGCCCAAAAATCTGTATACATACAAGCCTGTATACACATGAGCAACACTAAGCAGACTCAGCATGTTGTATTTATATATAAATGCACATACATGTAACAGTAACAATTAAAGAGGAATTTGAAAGGAAATGAAGGTTGAGGACATGATAGGAGTTTGGCAGAGAAAAAGAGAAAGGGGTATATGATGTAATTATATTTATTTTAAACTTTTTTAAAAGTAATAAAATTGATGTTTAATGCAGAAAATCTCAGAAAACACTGAAGTACATTAAGGAAAAAATTAATCAGTGATAGACATTAATAATTGCTGTTCACTATCTTTTCATATTTTCTTAATAAAAATGATGTCATTGACCAAAAAAAAGGCCAAAATATAAAAAGCAAAATCCCCCACTTGCAGTAACCAGACCCCAATTGCTAGGCACCTAACCCAACAGCTTTGTGATTTTTTTTTTTTATAAAAAAATAATGCCTAACTCCTAATGGTTCCAGGGCCTTACCATAAACTATCAGTCCCTGGAATGATAAACGGTATGATAAAATACTGCCTAACTGGACAGTGAACTGAGCTGCTTACCTCCTATGTACCCAAACATGAATCCATAAAAGGGGTCAGTTCTGCTCTGATAAATATTGCAGATCATTCCCAGCATCACAAAACTAAATAATTATCTCTCAATGAGCTGTAATTATGCATCACAGACACATATATAATAAAAATTTAGCAAATGGAATTCATCATTACAGATGGAATATAATATATCATAGACCGTAAAACAAGAAAGCGTTATCCAGAAGAGAATTAAAATTGCCGTTATTCATTCTAGGTGGCAGTGGTACATGCCTTTAATCCCAGCACTCACAAGGAAGAGCCAGGTAGATCTCTGTGAGTTTGAGGCCAGCCTGGTCTACAGAGCAGAGCGAGATCCAGGACAGGCACCAAAACTACACAGAGAAACTCTGTCTCAAAAAACAAAACAAAAAAATTGTCTTTATTCATAGATTTTGCTATTATCAACCCCAAAAAACTACTAGAATACATCAGAAGTTACTGAATATATATATATATATATATATATATATATATATATATATCCAGTACAATATTCAATATATACATATATAATTTTCAATACCATCAAAATAGAACAATTAGAAGCAAATCATATGTAGCATCTGCACACTGAAGACTATTAAACACTTCTGAGAAGGGAGAACTAGAGAATGGTTCATTTATAGATTAGAGTACTCAGTGCTGTTACAATGTCAATATCCTACCTTAACCTACAAATGACTGCATAGTCAAACCCACAGCAGAATGTTGTTTTAGATTTGCTTTTAAATATCAATATGTTGATTCTATGGAAAAATTAAACAGGCAAAGCAACTCTATAGAGGAATGAAATCAAGGACTGAAACCACTGGACTTCAAGACTCGCTATGAAACAACAGCTGTGGACACAGTGCATTACCGACCCAGGGGCAGAGCAGAGCCAGGACAAAAGAAGAAGCTTACACAAACACAACTAGCTGGCTTTGGCAAAGCACAAGTGTGTTCAGTACAAAATGAACAAACCATTGCTGCTTTTAACAGTACTAGAATAAGTAGATTTAAACACATACAAATGAACACTGATCAGACTGTGGAAGGTGCTATGAACACTACCAGAGTCAAAAAGTAATCATCAGTCTCACTCAGATGTGAACTCTGTGAGCTATAATAACAATTGGCCCAGCAAGAATTTGGGTAGCACAAACTGGGCAAACATGAGCTTAAAAGAAAATGAGAATAACATGCAGCAGAGCCGGTAGAGAAAGGCCAATAGATCTGGGAGGAGCTGAGGAGTGGTGAATATAATCAAAATACATTGTATGAAATTCTCAAAGAATTAATAAAAATATTTTTAAAGAGATAGGACAATAAAGATACTCAAAGGGATCTATGTGTGTGGTAAAGACAAGTAAGATAAATTATCTGAAAGGAAACAAAGAAGGCACAGAAAAAGAAAGTAACAGCCATGGTTGTGCCTATCAAAGGCAACGCTTCTCAGTACTTTACATACATCACCATGACTAACCCTCCTTGAGGCTGGCAGGTGGCAGAGCAAAGACTCACAGGAGAGATTACTTTACAAGTGCCACCTGGCCTGGGTAAGGGCCAAGTCAGGACAGAGACTTCTGTCTGCTTGATGCCAGCACTGGGCACTGCACTTTCATTGCCTCTCAACACAAAAATAGAATTTTAAATCCCAATATTACCTACTCAAAGAAAATATGTATATTTTCTGCTTTCAGCAAACATCAACTGCCCAAACATTTTATACTGAAAAACACACCTCTCCTGAGGAAATCACTAAAGATATCATGTAACTTTCCACTTAAGAATCCCAGTAACAATAAGATTCCATCAGAAAACACCACAGTTAGGAGACAGAATTTTAAATTAACTGCAATCAAGATTTAAAGTCTGGTAGTGAGAACAACATACAGGTAGATGTTCAGCCATCTTCTCACCAAATCTGACTCCAGTCCTCCACTCCATGCCATGCATTTCAAAGAGACCTCTGCCCTTGCATGTAAGCTGACTCCTCTCCCACTCACATGAGCATTATTAGTACTGGAGAGGCATGTCCTCAGTGTACTTGATTACAATCTCTGTATCTCTTTAACTTAAGGCCACAAAACACTTCTGGTTATAAAAATCCTTTCTCTGCTCCAAATCTAGAAGGTTGCTATTTTGATACAGGGTACTAAGTAGTAAAGCCTACTGTCCCCAAGCTTTGTCACCAAGAGATGTGCCCAGAGCGCCACAATAAAAGGTGCTCCCTAAAGATCTGCCAAATGAATAAATGACCAGTCCACAAACTCACATCTTTCCGGGTCTCATTTTCTACTGCATGAATCCTCTGATCCATTTCCTCTTCCAGCTCACTCAGTTGAATGGCTGCCTTGTCTTGAGCTCTGAAATTCAAAAAGTTCATTGTATACTTAGATTGAAAAATGTAAAAAGAAATTCAAAACTCATCAGCTTCAGGCTTCACATTGTATAGATGAGGTTAGTATTCTCCATGATATTTCCCAGTCCTTCTATGTGATAAACTAAGGTTGCCAACATGACTATTTGGGTGTAAAATGACATTAAACAACTGAAATAGATTAAATATTAGGCTGAGGAAAAAAATAGCTAAAGACAGCAAATTTCTGGGAGACTGTCCACAAATGTGAACATCTTATTGCCATAACTGAGTGACAAAACTAGACAAAGGAAAAAACTTTATGGCAATAGACTATTAGATATAATTTTAAAATTCTATTTTCTAAACTTCACAATCGTATAGGCTAAAGTTAAAGTCAGAAGGATCAATTTCAGAAACTGTTTCTAATCAGTCTCTTACTGTTCCAGAGATAAAATTATCTGCTAGGAAAAATCTTGTATTCTACCCAAGATGTCGTGTACTGGAACTCATGACCCCAAAGAGTGCATCTTTATCACTCTTTTGAAAACTCAGGACTGAGACTTGGAAAGCACAGGAAATCTGCTGGCAAGGTCTTTACCTAGCTTGGCTTCAGAGTCTGCCTACCTCTGTTTTGGTCAAGTTTCCTTTAGTGAAGTTTCCTGTTTGGGTCAAATGGCTGGGAAGAAGACACAATCTGAATTTTTCAGGATGGAATTGTCAATTTTTAGGAGTTGACAACATAGGATGGCAATGACCAACCAAAAGATTCCTGTTTGACCCTGCAATTACTACCTAACACAACTTACCCTGTGTGGAATATTCTAGAATGTTTTGGATTCCAAAAGTTCAGAAAGACCACTTGTATCATAACATGACTGCTAGTCAGTTCCTTTACAACCCTGGTCACAGAACAAGTAAAAGGACTCTGTGTGTCCTCAGGAAAAAAGCAGATTGATACCTCTTCACTGCAATGGCCAGGTTTTCCATTTCTGTGCTCTGGAGTTTGATCTCACGGAGAAAGTTTCTTATCACATGTTCATACGGCTGGATTAATCTTGGCTCCACAAGATTGATGTTCTGGTACAGGGTACTAACTTGTTCTTTTCTGCCAAAAATATTAAAATTAAATGGTATCAGTTTAAAAGTAAAATAGAAAATGTATAGGGATGAGATAGACAACTAAAAAAGAAACAAGAAGGATTTTAGAATCCGTAGACGGATCTGGAATAAAGACAACAGAGAAGGCAGAGAGCCTTTTGTGTTCTCCATGTCAGAAGACGTCAAGTGGGAAATCCAGGGCAAATGCAAGGAAAGGGACTTAGAATGAAGAATTATTCATTTTACTTGCTAAAAATTGGATAGTAATGAACTTTAAAGAAAAGTGAATTGGTTACCAAATTCTGCTTCTCCAATCCCTAGCAAGATGTGTGTTAATCTTTGAACTTAGAATGGATATACCTATTATTTTGTGGTCAGTCAAAATTACTTCAGGCAAATTCACATTTGTGGATACATTCACACATTTTTTTTCCTTCCTGGTTCTTCAAATACTAAAAATTTGGAGCTTTCTCATACCAATCAATTTTCTGTTTTTCAGACACCAATTAGATGTTAAAATTTTTTTATTGAATTAATAACTACTGAAAGTTGGCACAAGCTCCCTGGCTGGAGCTCTAATCTACAATTTTGCCCCACTTCAGGCACCAGTCACCTGTCCAAGTGATGCCTATTTGGAACTAACCAGCTACAAATCAGCAGTTCCCATGAGTATATTAAAATGGCTCATGGAACTCAGGAAAATATTTACTTTCTTTTAACAGCTTATTATAAAGAACAGCAAAATGGAAAGGGTATAGAGGGGCCACAGAATTTTCATGCCTTGGCTATGTCACTTATGCTGCCAAAGTGTGAATACTTTGATGTATTCACAGACCCAGAAGTTCCCTAAGCACACCCTTATGACCAAAGGTCAAACTAAATTTTCAGCCCTTTTTTATTCCCCAGAGTCAGGGATGAGGCTCCAAGTTCCAGCCCTCCGATAATGCTTCATATCTTTCTTTCTTTCTTTCTTTCTTTCTTTCTTTCTTTCTTTCTTTCTACCTATCTATCTTTCTATTTATTTATTTGACAGTCAGCCTCCATTCTGAAGCAATCTATGGCCTAGAGCTATCATCTATTTCATTACCTAGTAGAAGAAAAGAGTGGTTGGACAGCTAGTGGCATTCCAGCCTCAGAGATCATCAGCTAATTCCCTAAGTGGAAGTGAATGTGGCTTTTATGTAAATCACCCTTTTACATCTTTATAGAAATACATATTGTGCTGGCTAATTTTGTCAAGTTGACACAAGCTACAGTCACTGGAGAGGAGGGGCCCTCAATTGAGAAAATGACTCAGTACGGTCTGGCTGTAGGAAAGCCTGTAAAGCATTTCCTTAGCAGTTTTTGTGGAAGGGTCCAGCCCATTGTGGGTGGGACCACCCCTGGGCAGGTGGTCCTGGATTGTATAAGAAAGCAGGATGAGCAAGCCATGCAGAGAAAGACAGTAAGTAGCACCTCTCCACTGTCTCTGCATCAGCTCCTCCCTCCACATTCCAGCCCTGCTTAAGTTCCTGACCTCACTGCTTTTGATGATGAACTGTTATATGGTACTGTAAGTGAAATAAACCCTTTCTTGCCCAATTTGCCTTTAGTCACAATGCTTCATCACAGCAATAGTAACCCTAAGACACATACTCTGGGTGGATTTAATAATCATTCGACTTTCTACCAGTACCAACATTTTTCTCAACAGATAGGCTGTGTGCTGGTATCCTTTGACATGGTACATGAGGGACACTGCAATCTATCCTACTTCTTATTCCACTACAGAGCAAGGAGTGTTGTAATTTTACATGAACTGTGACTGTGAGAACACATGACAGTAACAGGAATTCTTTTGTAAGGAAATAACATATATACCAGCTAAAAGATACACCAGGGTTTGGAAAAATAGGTAACTTCTTAGGTCTGAAATAACTTATCACAACACCAACCTGAAAGAATTATCAGTTTTCATCAAGATTAAAAATGCTAGGAATAGGTAGTCCTCAAAAAAAGGTAGATCCTTTCATATACACTGTATTATTGAATAATCATCAGCAGCACTTGGTTATTTCTTATACTTGATGATCTTCCCCTGTGATTTGATAGTCACTCTCTCAACACTGTGAAAGATCTACTGTCTCCTGACCCTAATATGGAGAGATTACTCTTGATGTGCACGTCTTACACAAGAAACACTGGGCAGGACAAGAAACCAGGAAGCTCATAATCCTTTCACAACCATCCACAGTACCCATGCATAGACAATGGTGTGATGGACACAGATCATTCAAATACCCTGAACACAGAACTCACACCATCTTCTCCATTCATTTTGGCTAGAGTCTCTCAAGGGCAGTCTGTTTTCATGTTTGTTTTAGATGTTCTTATTTATTATTTTATGTATATGAATGTTTTGCTCTCACCCATGCATGCCTGGTGCTCACAGAGGTCAGAAGAACAACTTTGGAAGCTAATGCAGGAGGATCATGAGTTCAATCAAGGCCATTCTAGCTAAATTGTAAAATATTATTATTTTAGTTAAAAGGAAACAAAAGAAGTACAAGGACTGAAGGTTGATTGGTGGCGGGGGAGAGACAGGAACACTGGGTCAGGTTACAGGCTCTCTCCCTAGACAGGGCTGAGTACAAGGTGTTCAGTGACCTTACAGTTCTCACAGAGTTCATTCTCTCCCTAGGGCAGCTGCAGACCATCTGCTCCTAGACCCAAGACAAGCTTGCATTATTACTTTACTTTATCAGCATCTTGTGACTTATACATCTAGGCTGGATTACATGGTATGGAACTTATCCATCTCCCCACCTGCCCTTGAAATCCTGTGAAAGCAAGAACTCCCCTTTTGTTCTTTGGACCCAAAGGTCTACCTTTTCCTTCAAGATCCCACTGTGCTGTAATTCTCTTTGTTCTTTAGACCTGAGGAGAAATGAAGGCTCTGTCCCTTCAGGATCCAATCAACACTATCCTTGACAGCTGTCTCTCATAATGAAGCTCTTATCTGGACCTGAATGTGTGTCCTTCTACTACAGGATGTGATGCTGAAATTCTTCTAATAAAGCTTATCTGAGGGGTAATTAATCTCTGCCTTCTTTCTACAAAGCTACCATTATCTACAACAGGCAGGAATGCAGCAAAGTAGAAAGGCAAGCAGGAAGAATTAGAATAAATGTTCTTCAGAGGAAAAAAAAAGACTCTGCTACTGTCCTACCCAGCCACATAGTGTGATAACAGCAGAAAGCCTGGCTCTCCACTTGTGCCAGAAGGGAAGCCATGGTCTCTTCAGGGTCTCTGATGTCGATGTCAAAGGATGCAGCCCATCAATCAAGAGAAGCTTTGGCTATGGTGCAGAAGTGGGTCTCTTTATGCCTACTCACCAGACCCCAATTTATTGCCACATAACTTGAGTACATCTTCTATTGGAATGTTCACAACACCCACAAAAAGTATTCTATTAACTCATTTTACAAATCAGGCAGAGATAGGGGCCTGTTATGAGATTAAATCATGGTCCCAATGCCCCAAATTCATGTATTAAAACCCTACTACCAGGAATTCAGATTCTAGTTATAATTATACTTAAGAGTCTTTAAGGAAGGAATTAAGTTCAAATGAGATAATTATGATGAATTCTAACCCAGTCTTACTAGTGATCTTATAGAAAGAGAAGATTTAGATACAGACATATATAAAGAGAAGACTGCATGAAGACTTAAGGGAAGACGGCAGTTCTAAGACCAGAATAAAGGCTCAGGACAAACTGACCCTACTGGTCCCCTGGTGTCAAATTTTAGAATCTATAATTATGAGAATGTCCTGTTGTTTAAACTAAGTGTGGTGCTTGATGCTACAAATGCCTGGGCATCCCATAAGACCCAAGGACACAGAGATTAAATGACAGAATTGAAATTCTGTTTTGTGCTAGAGACCTCATAATTAACCACTAACCTCCTACTGCTTCTCAATTCTGCTAAATACCTGAACTTTTGGCAGAAGAAATGGGATTCAAAATTAATCAATAGAACTTTGAAACACTGTATGACATGAGTTACAAATTAACTATGCTGCTTAATTAGGCATAGCCAAATATATGCCCCTGTTGCTTTAAATTTCTTAGGACCATTTCTTCTAAATAAAGAAATCCATTGCTCAATCCATTCAGAAGCTAATCTTGATTCTTAAAAGCTGTTCAAGTGCCGAGCGGTGGTGGTGCATGCCTTTAATCCCAGCCAGGCAGATCTCTGTGAGTTCGAGGCCAGCCTGGGCTACCAAGTGAGTTCCAGGAAAGGTGCAATGCTACACAGAGAAACCCTGTCTCAAAAAAAAACAAAACAAAACAAAACAAAAACAAAAAACTGTTCAAGCATTATTAATAAATTCATAATAGTAAGTCACTTTATATGATGATTTAAGATACTCAAACCTGTCATCCCTCCTCCCATTAGAGCTCAGGACAAATACTGGTTGTAAGAATGATCCACATTATTAGAGAATAGTAAATGAACAACAAAAAACTCTTCTTCTATGAGATCATCCTAAGTAACTTCATTACAGAACAGGACAATTCATGTCTTTACTTGTATCACTTATACTAGTGGGGTACAAAAATCTAAAAATATACTATGTGGTAGTAATCTGTCAGAGAAATCATTCTCTGGAGTCCTTATTTTCCAGCTAACTGCATAACAGTGAAACATTCCATTGCTGAAGTCTCAACAGGTCCTTCACTTTCTGTAAATGTCTAAAGTGGGAACAAATTATAGTGACATGAATCCCGTTGGATTATTTTCTGATTCATGCCTTAAACAAAGTTCTAGGAATAATTTACAGTGAGATATATACATAGATTATAAAAAAAAAAATCCACCACTGATAGAAAATGTGTATGCTACACAATCAACTATTATATAAGAATGGCCTGGATCCTCATCTACCCTACTTCTTATGTCAGGGACTTGTCGAAGGTGTACAAAGTTATGGGTTCAATCCTCAGCACCACATAAACTGGAT